AATAGATGTAGGATTTAGGATACATATCTCACATTTAAGGTGATTGAGTGATAGTTATGTAACATGTGAGACATCCTCGATTAGGTGAGATAGACAGGATTGTGGAAAGATTGCCAGCAACAATGCTATCATCGAGATACCAGAATTTAAGGTAAGGATGGATGGATTAAATTTCCTATATTAATTTGTGGATCCCAATGCAAAAGAGGACAGGGTCTAATGGGTCTCCCTGTTAAATTCCCTCTTGAGATTTGATTAAATTATTATTATTATATCTTAAAAATTTTGGATTTGAATATTTGTGTTGAATATATGCGTATTCAGAATATTTGTTACAGAACAAAGGAAGAAAGTGTTGTCGTTTTATTGCAATAAAAGCATTATTGAAATCAAGTTTTAAAACTGCATCATCAGGAATACCATTTGCAATAGCTATACAGGCAAGATGAGTAGAAACTGCGCTTCCAGGAACGCCATACCCTAGTTGAAGTGGTATCAGTAATGAGGAAGATTCCTTAATTCATGAAGCTATGGTTTTAGAAACATTTCTTCGGATGCTATTAGGTGAATCCCTCCGTACTTTTTTTAAGAGCTATTAGACGAGCACCAAAACGGATTTGAATTGTCTCCTCAATGTTGATGTCAGTAGCGATATGATTGTTTTAGTTTGAATAAAAGGGGTGTTTTTAGCTTCTAGGGTGCTCGTTGTTGGGAGATAAAGAAGAAAACACTAAGAGCTTAGTTTATGTTAATGCTATTTATTTTGAAAATATAATGGCCCTATGGGCAATAGGGAGTGAAGTAGATTGGTGAGTGTGGAGGCTGGTATAATATTCGGATTGAAGAAGGATATTAAAGTTTTCATATATTTAGATAACAAGATTTTCTCAGGGAGAAATTGGTAAATTACGGTCTATTAAAAGTTAAATGGAATTTTTTGTAAGAAATAAATGCTCCCAATAAGGTTATAAGGGACATAATGAATGTTGGATAATAAAAAAAATTAATTATCTCAAGATTGTAGGTTAGATGTTTGTTGTGTTAGAGGTGCATTAGTAGCAACTTTTGGGAAAGAAAAGCTCACTAGATTTAATAGACTGAAAGGAGAAGGATCTATAGGTGTTATGCATGGTGGCCCTGAACCTAAGCAGAATGGATGTCCATGAATTTGATACTTTCTAATTGGTTATATTTGTAGATTTATTGCATATGGGGCATATACATTTGAATCACCAAATATTATTATTTGCACTTACAATATAGCTTTTTTTTGCTTTAATTATCAAGTTCTCCAGATATTGTTATTAATATGCCAAGGACTATATTAAATCATTTGTTTTTGACTCATATTATTGAATGATAGTTTTATAATAAAAACACTATATGTGATATTTAAAAATGGTAGAAAATTAATGAATTTTTTATATATTAGAAAGCCATTTTAACTTTAACAATTTATGTTAACGCACCATGGCAAATGAAGTATTAAGACATGTATCTGTTATTATATAATTCTTTATTAAAGCAATTAAGATTAATTTGTATTTTAAGATTAAATATTTGAAAAAATTTAACTGCAATAATTATTATCAATATTGTTAATGAATTATCAATAGAGTTGGTGATGAGATTTCTAAAATTAATGAGTGGAACCAGTGTGTATACCTGGACACCTAGATGCAAATGATCCATGAATGGTGAATTTATGTCTTGTTAACAGTATAATCGGCTACAAAAGGGCAAAGGATGATTATGTGTATTTTAAAATCTCTAATTTACAAGATTAAACTGATTCATAAGAATGAGATATTAGATTAGGGTTATAATATTTTAAGTGGTTTTTAACTGATTAATATAAATTTAAAGCATAATTGATTATAAGAACATTGATAAAGACAGCTGTTGGATAGCATTAGCGTTCATTTTTTTAAAAGCACCTGGAGCGCCCCTCCTTAAAATTGAGGAGCAGGAGTCATCTCCTTTTAGGGTTGGAGTGGAGGAGCGCCGCTCCACCGCTCCTTTAAATTTTATGTATAAATTAAATTATTTTATAAATATTAATAATAATTGTTAATTAAAATTCAGTAAAAATGAAATTTTATTTTATTTAAATTTATCCATTATTAAATGTTTAGCCGAGTTTTATATTGCTTTTTCATCTAATCATTTTATATATTAACTATCGAGTTTTTCCTTTTTTTAATGAAAATTTTTTGGAAAATCTTGTAAGTCATATTTAAATTCATTTTATAGATATATAACAAAAAATAATTTTAAATAATATGGATTTAAAGATCATAGATGAAGAAATCGAATTTCCATTTCCATCATAAAAAATATTTTAAACTTCTAAAAGATGTTGATCCAAATGATCAAACAAATTTAAGGGCAAAATGCCTTTTGTGTTTAAATAAAACTATTTAATTTTCAAAAGTGAGCAGCTTCAATCTAAAAAAGCATCTAAAAGTAAAAAATCTTTCTTTTAAATACAAAATGATTTGAAAGATTTTTTTGGATTCTATGAAATAGATCATCAGGAAGATAATATATTGGACAAATATTTTTTATGATAAATTCCCTGAATTAAAAAATATTTTTATAAAATACAATACCTCGCTTCCCTCTAATGTTACTGTAGAGGCCTATTTAGTATTGCAAAAGAGGTCTTAGGGGAGAGGCGTGGATGTTTGTTAGATTCTAATTTAGAAAATTTATGACTTTAAGCTAATAAATATTTTGATAGATTTAATATAAATAAAGCTTTTTGATAAAAAAAATATGATTTTGTTTCATATACCTTCTAAAAAAATGAAAATCAAAGGAACGACTATGGAGTGCCACTCCATTACTTAAAGGAGCTAGCTTCTTTTGAGAAGGTAGGAACGGGAGCGGGAGCTAGCTACTTTTATAAAGGAGCGTTAACAACTCTGGCTATCTTTTTTTTGTAAAAAATTATTTGAAGATTTTTGTCAATTCTTTTTTCAAATTCTGTAGGAGATACATTTTTTATTTTATTATATCATAAATTTTTCATCTATTTGGGATCTTTTCTAAAATAAATATAAACTAATCTCACAAAAAGAAAAATAAGATATAAGAAATCTCGTTCATAATTTTTAATTTATCATAGATATATATATATGAGAGTTTTAAAATAATTTTGTATTTCATCTTGAAAAATTTTCTATGCCTGAATATTACAAAATTATTTAATCATTTTTTCCCAAAAAATTATTTAGGTAAAATTTGATCAAAAATAAAATCTAATTATTACAAATCAACGCCGTCTAGAACCCCCCCCCCCTCCTTCTTGAGTTAATGATACTGTATTCCACCTAATGGCTTTAAATAAAAATTATTCAATTATAATAGGTAAACTCAACATGTACAGAAACTAAGATTATCTCCTCCCTTGAGTTAGTCCATAAGATCTTAATAATGCAATAGCGTCGTAGAAGGTCCAAAGCTAAACGATAAAAAATTAAATGATATTAATACATATTTGAGGAATATTATTATTTGATATTGTTCATGAGCATTTTATCGAATTGTTATCAATTGTAAAAATCATGAGAAATAATAACTCTTAAAAAATATTTTTGCTCCAAGCGAAATGTTTTATAGTATGTTTGCAGTATGGAGTTACAGTAAGGAGAAATGAATAATCATATCTAGCAAAGGAAACTATATATGATAGATATAATAGAAGTGAGGTGATTAATTTTTTGTAGTGATGTAAACATTTCTGAAAAAATCTAACGCATTCAACAAAAAGCATTCATATCGTTCAAAACTTTATGAATAAATGCCTTATCCCCTAAGATATATACAATATATCACTATTAAAAAACTAATTTGAAAACAAAATAAACATAAGTTAATATTTTATTAAAATAATGACTATAATTCAGAATTAGAACATTTTTATAAGAATATAATATAACTACTCTCCAATAAATTCTATGGCGAAGACCCATACATAATTGTGTTTCCCCTATAGAAATATCTGGGTTATTTGTAATTATCTCCATTTTTAATTCATATTATTATTTTTATTTGTTTTAAATGCTAAATAGTTTTTTCAAAATTGGATATTTTTAGATAATAAAGAATTTAAAATAATAAAAAATTATATATTATAAAAAAACAAAATAACAATTATCATAATATTTTCAAACATTTGGGCATATTAGTCTAGATATTAGTTTTATAGGAATTATTTAATTATCAATATTTTTAGATATAACATTAAAAAGTATGTCAAAAAAATTATATTATATGGATCAATGTGATTAAATTACATTTATAGCCATTTTGGTATATATAGAGGATCGGCAATTAACGATATCGGCCGTTAACTGCCTCTTAAAAATAGAATTGATCGCACCAAAATCATAGCCCAATCTCTTCTTTTCGTAGCACTTTTATTTGGCAACAAACTGAGATAAAGAGATAATATATATTTTATTACATCTCATATATCTTCCATATGATTATTGTTTACCTAAAAAAAGATATATATATATAAACTAATAACAATTTCAAAAGGAAAATAATAGAAATTTCATTCATTATTAATAAATTTCTTTTACCAATTATTTATTGCATATTTTATTATATATATATCATTATCATTCATTACGCTATATTCAGGGTTGAGAAGGTTACTTTAAAATAAACTGTTGACCGGAAAATACAAGTAAATTACAGACAGAAATTTCCTGAAAAAGACTCCCGATCAATGACACTCGGCAATACCAAAGTTTGAAAAAAAAATCAATGTTTTCGTCTGAGATTCTACTTACCTAGAATATTTTACTGATTTTGCCTGTGCACAGTACCAGGGGCCGATAATTAACAGAAAAATATAATTATATTTTAAAAAAATTATCGTAAAAAGCATTCACAATTTTTTTATCAAAATTATTTTTAACCATTACCATTCGAAAACAGTATATTTATCAAAGTCAATATTTTCTATAAATATTTATAAGGAACACTTATATATATATTAAATAATAATATATTATAATTTATGAGAATTTACATCAAAATTTCATTTGATAAATAAATAACAAACATCGAATAAAAATATACACTGGTAAATATTTATCTTATAAATAAAAGCAAAATTATTTTCCTCATACACTATCTTTAATTGTATCATTCTCGCTTTCTTTCGAATAAGTCACGTCGTGGTTTCCTTCATTGATTGGTGTTAAATTCGGTTTTGTGTGATCGAGCAAAAACTTTTGAACCATAGGACTCATAGGACTGGGAAGCGTGTTAAGTAAATTATTCCTGAAATTTAACCTATAAGAGGCCTCCGTTTGGTCTTGGAGTCCTAACTTCTCCGTGTGCTGGGTAGGGTCAGAAAAATTATTATTGTCACACAATGAGAAGCTTGATTTATAAATTCAAAATTATTTTAGAATAATAGGTCAACAACAAATTTAAAAAATCTAGCCCCACATTATTTATTTAAAACACGTGGGTTTATTTATAAATTATTTTGCAATTGTTAAAAAAAACAAATAACGTTTAAATATATTCATTCCTCGGGCTTTTTAACATAAAATTAACATTCATGTTAACTGAAAGTCTTAAGACTTATTATATATCCATATAGTCAAAAAAAATGCATAATTAATGATAAGGGGATCCTTATATTTTATTTTAACCCTTCGTTAACTAGATGAAGTGGCTTATACAATCTCACACCCAATAACAATAAAACTATTTAAGCTTATAATTTAGGTTTTTTTAGTATCCTTATAATTTAATCTAAACAATATTCATGCAAAAATTTGGTATATTTTTGATAAGCACTTTGGATTATTTATCATTCCATATTTTAATATAATTGAAATATTTTGAGCTAGAAATAATTTTATTTTATTATATTATTTATGTTATAACCATAAATTCTTATAATTTATTTAGTGTTAATAATTTATAATTATTTATAAGATAAAAAAATTCAAATTACAACTCGGGTAACAATTATTCCTATGATTGTAATATTATATAAAAAATTTTAAAATAAACAATAAGATAAAAATTTTATTTAATATGATATATAAAATATAAATTAATTTTTTATCGAGATATATAGAACTGTTGGCGTTCCTCAAAAAAAATAACGCTATTACTTTTTTTAAAAGCATCGAAAACTTTACTATGTAAAATGCTTGAATAAATTACTCTTTTATTTACGACATGTATATAATTATTATATAAATCTCAAAATTCAAATAAATAAATAATATTTTATATATTATTGCTTTAAAATAGAAGTGATGATCTATTTTTTTAACAATTTTGATGGTGAATCGTTTTTCTAAGTATTTAAGTTTGTTCATCTCTTCACAGCACTTTTATTAGGACACCCGTTCAATAGCTAAAGCAAGCAAAGGTTTATTATATTTAATAAATAGGGTTTTAATGTTCGATAATTGTTAACGTTTTCTTTTATAAAGACGGATTTTTTCTATAGATTGAATTTTGATAGTTCGTCAATCCGACATATCTTCATAAAAAAATCTCTTATATTTTAAATAAGTCTTGGCTAATTTACTCCCTAGATTTTTTTATTAATATTTTCCTCAAAAAAACCAAATACTATTTTTTTCATTCGTATGGCCTTTAAAGGTAATAAAATTATGAAAATTATTTACATAATGTTGTCTTCATTAGCACTGCCATCTAATAGACCTATTCAAAAACCATGGTTCTGAACCGAATTTAAATTGAGCATTTTGAGACCACAGACCAAACAGAGACCGATTCATGGGCAACCCATCAAACCCGGGGTAATATGGACCAGCGTCGGGCCCAGAACTCAGTAAAAAAAGAATATAAATCGAATAGTGCATTTAATCGTATAAAAATATCGAATAATTTGATATTCATATTTTTATGAATAGTTAAATTTACTATTTATATGCGATAATAAATCATACGAAAATTATTTTGATAATAATTTGTTGATAAAGTGAATGAATGGATCATGTTATTAGATAAATTTGAAATGCATTTTTATTTAATTTATAAAGCCAAAGCCAATTTTAAGGCAGAGTTTATTTTATTGATTCTTATTTGTAAGATATACGATTTTTTTTTTGATGGCAAACAAGTTCTAAACTAAGAAAAGCCTTAATTCATGATGTAAACACTGTTATTCGAATCACTTGCCAGAATGATAGGTTACATATAGTGATGATTTTATTTTTAAAACATAAATTATTAAGAATAATTTGTCGTTTTATTAATCGAATAATTCTTTTTTTCTCATAAATATTAGGTCTTCAATAATATAAACAAAAATGATTAATATAATAAAATATAAATAAACGCAAAAAATAACTAGTAATTTAATCGGTTACCTTTTTAGAACAGTAACGCAAGGAAATGTAACGCCATTAGTAACGATGTTATTTTGTAATGAATTAAAAGCATTAAATATAACACATTAAATTTCTAGTTTTAAAATCCCTAAAAAGACACTTTTGAGTATTTTTTTATCTAGTTAACGAGTGGTTAATATTATTCATTTATAATATTAAATTAGGTTTGCGATGAACTGTAATTATGTCAAAAAACCTCACCTAGGCATGTTAGCCTTTTCGTTGTAAAAAGAAGAATGATTGGGAAGACTCGTGAGGTCATCATTAGTGTTGGTAGTGATGGTATCGTTGGATAGTCCAGAACGTATAGAAGATTGATTGATTTGAGGTCGATAAGCAAACAGGCTAGCGTATGTTATTCTTAAATTATATATAAAATTTTGTTTGAAATTTGGTAAATTATTATGATCTTATAATTAATCCCAAGTTTTGTTAAATTGTTGTTTTTTTTAGAAATATTAAACATTAAATTTTATTATTTCAAAATGGAGTATCCTAACTTGAAGACTCCTTTGAGAAAAGTTCTGTAGACTAATGGGGCGAAGGATATGAGATAGATGTAGGAAGTTGTATCTATTATACTTTTTTTTTGTAAAAGAAAGTACAATATATAATAGCTTATTTATTTTATATAATTTTTAGTGAGTAAATAACTAAATTTACCATAAGGAAAATGGGACATCGAAAATTAGCATACACGATCCCAAGGTTTGCATAAGATTCAAGATGGCCAAGAAAGCGCAATAGTAATAAAATGTTTTCTTGGCTTAAAAATATATAAATTAGATTTAGAAAAAATATTTTTCCTTCTTCTCTTAAGCAGGGCACCAGGAGTGAGGGAAGTCAGGAATTAGGAAAGTTAACTATGAAAGAAAGAAATAAATATTTTCATTCATTCATTATTTATGTTTACCATTTTAATTTACTATATAAATATATATATATGTGTGTATCTTTCATAGAATGTTTTTTTTGAACTTTCAAAAAAAATCCCTGGCTAGTGTCTACTTCCGCTTGTTTAATTTGTTAGTTATTTAATTCTTTTTTTGCTATCATTTTAGGAAAATAAATCCACAATTAAAACTTACTTTAAAATTGGTTTAATTTTATAAAAACAAAATGTAATCCAGTACTTTTATATAAAAATAAATTCGCGCGTTGAAAAATTTAAATTATTACTTGGTAAGGATAATTTTTCCCTAATTTTTGTTTTCGGCAACATCAAAATGCCCAGATACATCTGTTAAAATTAAAATTTGTTTAAAATAAAATAATAGCTAAATTAATAATAATAAAAAAATCATAACAGCTGGCCATATTTATCCATTCGACGTAGGTCCTATGCCCAGGCCCGGCTCAAACTAAGCGAAATGCCCATTTTGGCGAAATGATATTTATAAATATAATGTATAGGCTTGGCATAATATTTTATATTTGTGTTGACAGATGAAATCGGGTTAATTTCAATTAATATGAGCCATGCCATATTAGAACTAATTTTTTTTTTAAATTATGCTATGCTGATTCAATGATTTACTAAAATATTATTAAAATGATTTTATTTTAACTATAAATGTACCCAGTAACATTTTAGAATAGTTATTACTTTAACTGTAATGTAGTTAAATTAAATATTAACAGATAACTATTGTACCTAGTTGTTACACATAACTAAGTACTTTTTATAGAAAAGTAACTCTAAATAGTTGCATTCAAGCGTTTTAAATGCAATTATATAAAAATGTAACTGTCACTAGCTACTTTTAAAAAAAATTTACGGGTTACTGTTTGGGTATTTTTTAAAAAATAGAAAGTAACTAAACCCAGTTACTTTTTAATGATATAACTTGTAAATATAAGTTACCTCAATCAACTACCATTCGATTTTTCCCTTAATCTTATTTTGAGAATCAAATAAATTGCAATAATTATTTTAAAAATATAAAAACTCACGCATGTGAAGATGGCAGAGGTAACAAATAAAAATATGGAGCCTCCTTGCGCAAAAACATCATAATCTTTATTGTCAATATTAAAACGCTTGTCGGGCATATATAATTCCAAGAATCCCTATATTCATAATTATAATTGATTGAAGATAAAAAAAATTTTTTAAAAAATAAATATAATTTAAAATTCATATTAATTTAATAAACATTATTTGCAAACTTAATTTTTTTTCTTTTCAAATTATTGAATATATTTTATAACCCGATCTGAGCCCAAGTTTAGGCGTATTTAAAAAAAATGTATTAATAAAATAAATAGAGAGCCAAACCAATCAGATAATTTCTAAATATTGGGCAGGCTGCTGGGTTAAACAAATTTTTAAATGAATGGGTAGGTGAGCTAAATTTTTCTTAAATCAAGGACTGGTGGGATCAGGTTAAAACATGCCATTGCAGACCTATATAAATATATCCCTTAGAATTATGGGGTACTCTTAATTCTTCAAAGAGTAGAGAAAACTCTCTTAATAAATTAAATTCTTTCCCCTCCCTTTCATGCTAGAGATTGGTACTGAGGGAAAACAAGTGTCCCATCCCCATGTCAGGATGTTAGTCTTCAAGATCTCAGTCCATTCTTAAAAATTGGTCTTAAACTTTCATTGCGCCTGACAGATGCATCTGTCCTAAGAGCAAAGAAGACTAAAAAAAATTGTTTAAAAAGGAAAATTGAAATTTTAAAACTTTCACTTGCACTCTTTGCAATGTAGAGTTGAGCAGTACGATAAATGCTTAAATTTATGGTAGTAAACATGGTAAAAATATCAAACAATGGGTTCATTTTGGTCCATGGAAATATTCTTGAACCCAAGTTTAGTTCCGTGTTCAGCTCAGGATTAGAAATTCATTTTTTTAATTAAAGATATTCATAATTAAAATAACATAAACTTATTATATAAATTTTATTTATAGGCAAAATATATTCAAAAATATAACGCATAATCATGTTATCAATTTTAAAATATTTATTTAGACTTATTGCGGTGAAAGAATAAATTTCAAATGTGAAACAGATCTTTCAAAGTTAACATATTTTAAATATATTTATATGAAAATATATAAAATTAACTTGGGGGTTGCAGAAAGAGCAAATAAGATTTTAGACAAGGGAGTTTGATGCAAAATAAACTAGTACTAGAGGTCTGCAATGGGTGGTTTTAGTCAAAAGGACTGACCACTTGTTTTAATTTTAGCTCCACCAGCTCACTTAAATTCTATTAAAAAATATACCCACCTGCCCATTTACCTATAAATTTTGCTTAATCAGCCCACATGTCTAATGTTTAAAAAAAAATTTAATGGCTGGTTTAGCTCTTTATTTATTATAATATATTTTTAATTAAATATATATATAATATGCAATATTTTGAAATAAAATTATTACTTTTAATAAATTGAGTACTAAATGATATATCTACCCTGAATTGCATATACAAATTTGAATATTCTTACAACCCTTAAACTGATAAGTAAAAAGATAGAGGAAAGATCTTCTTGAATAAATAAATCTTATGGGATATGAGTTAGAATATCTTGTCTGGGAGCTTAGCAAAATCTAACAATTTCCAAGAATAACAAGATATAACACTAGTTACCATAACTCAGAGGAAATATGGTAAAACATTCTTGAAGTTTTTAAAAAGACAGCAGAAATTTTTTTTTATTATTTTTGTTTTATATTAAAATTTATTTGATCTTAGCCCTAATATTCACAATCATGCATTTAAAAATATTTGGTTTTTAAAATATACTTTTTAATACCTGTATAAATGAGAATATTAATGATATCATTGATGCAAAAAACATAACCCATCTTATACTTTTCTGACTTTCAAGCTTACCTAAAAAAATCAATTAATTATATAAAAATTAACAATAAATTTCAATATATTAAATACATACCAAATGCCAATCCAAATATTAAAACAGACAATTCAGTTGAAAGCAAAAAAAATCGTAGTATAAGCCATAATAACTACATTATAATTAATGAAAAATTGTTATAAATTAAATTACCTTGTCTATAGTATCTTCAACAGGATTTTTGGCTGATACAGACATGTATACTACACATCTTAGAATATTTAAAAGATTGCATAACCATATCTATTAATAATTTAGTCATATAAATAAAATATATAGATACTAAGTAATAAAAGGTTGATATAACTGGCATCCTTGTAATTCTCAATTTAATTCTAGCCTTTTTGAATCCATATATCAAAAATAAAGAAAATACAATGTTAGGAATTAGTATCATCAAATCCCATAACCTAACCCTATATAATAATAATATATTAAAATATATATCCATTCTTTACCTTGAAACACCTATTTCTTTAATTAGAATCCATTTACAGGGCATAAAATGTTGTATTGCCATGGTCCTTTTAATTAAATGGTTCGGTTCGGGCCCTATACAACAGCTGCTAAGAGTCAATATGAAGACAGATGGCAAAATACAAACAAGGCATCTTAAATATTTTATTTATTTTAATATATTTTGTAAAATATTTTATACAAATTTTCAAAATTATTAAATTATAAAAATAATTAATTAGATGTTATAAGATTTGATATATTATATTGTTTGTTATAAATACAATAGAGAATTTTAAGATATTTTTATAAATATATAAAATGCAATAAAACTATTTTTAACAAATATATTATATAATTAAATGATAATTTATGCAATATTCAATACTAATATAAAAGTAATATTTAATTAAATGTAAAGGAAAATATCATCAATATTATATCATTTAGGTCATGACTAGAACTAACGCTCGTGATATTTAGTAAGAAGAAAAAATAGATTTAGAAATAATAGGTTTAGAAAAAATTAGGTATTCTTGCCACTATGGGGTATGCAAAGCACAGTGACACGGACAGGTCAGATCCCAATTGTTGATATTTAATATAATATATATAAGAAGTACCAATGTTAATTACTTAATATTGAAAATTAGATTCAATGATTAGGTTATAGTTGAACGATATTATTGAGTTATTGTCAGGGGCCCCTACAACGGGGGGGGGGGGGGGGGTCCGAAGCAACTGCTTCAGTAAATTTGAGTGGGGGTACTTTTTTTTAACTTTTTTTAAAATTTTTTTAAAATATTTTTAAAATATTTTTTTTTAAATTTTTTTTTACATCCATCATATGTGATTTCTGGTTTATAAATGTAATAATAAGATCCCCCTCCCCCACTTAATATTTAATTTAATATATTGATGGAAATTTTGGTCGATGTTTAGTAAATTTGTTATCCGAGATTTCTTGTCATAAATTATTTTTCCAATTTTAAAATATGCCTAAAAATATTAACCAAAAAAAATACAAATGCCTAATAAAAAATTGCAAATCGCATAATATAAGAGATGATAAATGGATAGATCACATTAGAAAAAGACATGGTGGGCTTAATATTATATAAAGAAAAACTTTGAAATAGTAGCTTTTAAGAATGTTACTCAAAATTGGATAAATAGCAAAGTAATTTTTTTATTAAATATTTAATTGTTTATACATATCTTATTATAAAGGGTATTAAATCGCAATTTAAGAAGAAAGAAGTAAAAATTGGGAACTCAAAGCTGTTGGTATAATAAATATTTTTAATTAATATAATTATCTTTTAAAAGTGTCCTAATAATAAAGAAAATGTGTTAGAAAAAAATATAGTATCTGATGATTCTGATAATGATCATGGAATTAGTGAACCTGAGGTCATTTAGTTACTCATATTTTTTATCTACTATATTTTTTATAGGAAGACATAGAGCAGAGATTTGATAAAGTAGAACAAGAAATTCCTATTATCTCTCTACTGGTAATAAATATTCCTTGAATATCTAGTTGAGCAAAGTTATGATGGAGCCTCAAACATGAGTGGAAGAATCAATGGTGTGCAAGCCTTGATTAGAGCAAAGGCGCCAAGGGTAGCTTTTATTTGGTGTTATTGTCATCGATTAAATTTAATCGTTGTTCAATTATGCCAATCAATTAAAGAACTTTGAAATGTTCTAGGAATACTAGATGAGATTTATGTCTATTTTAATGGTGTAAAAAGATATGAGGTACTCAAAATATTTCAGTGTAATGATCTGAAAAAATCGCAACGATTTCTACGCGTTAAGAATACCACTCGGTAATAGTTCCTTATTTATTTAGATTTTATATGTTTTTTTTATTTAGAAGCTGGCTATCGTCATATAAAGCTATTGTAAATTTTTTTCAACTTTATGATGCCTTGAGGGCAGCTTTAACAAATTTAAAGGATTCTGAAGATCCTGCCACTTTCACTATGGCTAGTGCTATAGTCTTTAGAATAGAAACATTTGATTTTATCTTATCACTTTGTGTTTTGGATAAAATATTGTTGATAACAAGTTTGGCTTGTACAAAATTGCAAACCATTTCGAAGGATATAGAGTATGCAATAAATCAAATTCGGCAAAAGATTGCTTGATTAATTTGAGAAGTATAATATAAATTATTGTCTTAATTATTTTTTAATCTAATAGATAATAACACTGAATTTTTGGATGTTTTTCAAAGGCGCAAGATTTTATGAAGGAGAGAAATCTACCCTTTGATTTTGAAAGCTCTAGACTTCAAACATTACAATCCAAAAAGGAGAGGTATATATACTTTCATCATTAAATATATAAATTTTTTTTAGCTTTAAAATAGGTGTGTTTTATGCTGCACTCGATTTAATTATTATGCAGTTTAACGAAAGATTTAATGATGATTCCATGAAATTTTTACATCAAACATCATTTTTTACGCCGAAGGGAATGGCAGAAAAATCAATTATTAAAGAAGATATCGAGGATATCTGTGAATTTTACAATTTAAATTCAAGTCAAATTTTCGAAGAATTGCTCAATAAGATTCTTTTTTTTAATTTCCATGGTTGTAGCGCTTGCCCTAAAATTTTGTTGATTGTAGTTTGCTGTAAATATATTGTGTAAATTGAAAGTATAAAATAGAATTTACTGATAATGGTATCGGATCTTTGATGATTTTGCTCAATACGATTCTTTTTTTTAATTTCCATGGTTGTAGCGCTTGCCTTAAAATTTTGTTGATTGTAGTTTGCTGTAAATATATTGTGTAAATTGAAAGTATAAAATAGAATTTACTGATAATGGTATCGGATCTTTGATGATTTTGCTCAATACGATTCGTTTTTTTAATTTCCATGGTTGTAGCGCTTGCCCTAAAGTTTTGTTGATTGTAGTGTGCTCTAAATATATTGTGTAAATTGAAAGTATAAAATAGAATTTACTGATAATGGTATCGGATCTTTGATGATTTTGCTCAATACGATTCTTTTTTTTAATTTCCATGGTTGTAGCGCTTGCCTTAAAATTTTGTTGATTGTAGTTTGCTGTAAATATATTGTGTAAATTGAAAGTATAAAATAGAATTTACTGATAATGGTATCGGATCTTTGATGATTTTGCTCAATACGATTCTTTTTTTAATTTCCATGGTTGTAGCGCTTGCCTTAAAATTTTGTTGATTGTAGTTTGCTGTAAATATATTGTGTAAATTGAAAGTATAAAATAGAATTTACTGATAATAGTATCGGATCTTTGATGATTTTGCTCAATACGATTCTTTTTTTTAATTTCCATGGTTGTAGCGCTTGCCTTAAAATTTTGTTGATTGTAGTTTGCTGTAAATATATTGTGTAAATTGAAAGTATAAAATAGAATTTACTGATTATGGTATCGGATCTTTGATGGTATTGCTCAATGTGGTATCGTTATTAATTTGTAGCGACAGAATTTAATATGTCCTGATATTCGACATTAAGAGTAAATACTCTATTATCATTCAAAAGTGTGCCCTGGTATTTTGTAGGTAATATTTTTATTTTCATATTTTTTTTAAATCTGCAACGTGTTAGAGCGACATAGAGCTGACCATGGGAAAACACAGGTTCAGGAAGAAAGAGGCCGACATTGTCGAATGTTTGACCTTGACTTTTGTTTATAGTGATAACAAAAGAAGGAATTATAGGAAATTGGCGTCTTTTTAATATGAAAGGCAACCGGGAATCGCTCGGGGAAAAATTCGAGGAATAAAAACGCGATGGCCATTATGCGTTCCTGATAATATTTCAGAATCTATGAAATTATCATGTAAATTTTTGATAAGAAGTCGTGTCCCATTGCATAAGCCTCTGCTGGGATTCATGTTACGAAGAAGCATTATTATTGTCCCAACTTTAAGATTTAAAATATGAGGAGGCATTCCTGATGGGGTTTGAGAATGAAGAAATTCAATGGGGAAATTAAGTAAATCCTCAGGATTATCTGTTTGTATAGAATCAGCGCTAAAATATATCTTAGAATTTCCTGGTAGTTTTTGAATAATTTCGTTATTTAAATTTAGGGCTATGTTATTTTTAGTGGTTAATATAATTTTTTTTGAAAATAGGTTAATATCAGATATTTGTATGGAGTCTCCATATATTGATTTGATTAATGAATTTTCTAATAATGAATTTGGGATTTCAATCGAATCTGGAGGGAGTAAAGGATTGGAAACATTTGATAAAGATTCTCCAACATTCAAAATCCAGGAATTATACTCAACATCTTCAGAAGATAACAGCATATTTTCATTCAGATGGATAACTTTAAAATAAACCCATAAATCAGAAGACTCAAGACATGATTCAATAATATATGCTTTTGAACTGTTTGGAATGACAGGTAAAGTTTGCCTAAAATCGCCGCCCAATAATATAACTTTACCACCTAATGGGAACTGTATTTGCATTATATCTTTAAGTAATCTATCGATACAGCGTAAAGCGTATTTAGTCATCATTGTGGCTTCGTCGATAATAATTAATTTGGACCTTTTAATAACAGTAGCATCAGGGGAATGAAGACTCATGCGAGATACAGAGTTATCAACAATCGGAATAGGTAATTTAAATCCACTATGTATTGTTCTACCCCCTTTTAAAAGAATAGCGGCAATGCCTGTTGTTGCAAACGGTAAAACTATTTGGTTGCGTCCTCTAATGTAGCACATTAGGGTATTATACAAAAAAGTTTTTCCCGATCCACCTGGACCATCAATATAAAAACAACGCTGAGGAAAATCATTATTTTCGATAGATTGAACGATTAAATCAAAGGCTGATTTTTGTAAAAAATTTAATTTAGTAATTAGTTTCAATGCCTCAGCTGCCTCAAGATCATTATTATAAAAATCATCCTGAGCTATTAAAGTAGGAACAGGCAAATTGAAATTACTGCAACGAAAACCATGGTCGTGCAATACTTTTTCTATATCTGATAAGGCCATATTAATTGCAATAGAATCTGTATGGGTATGTGCGAAATCTTCTATCATATATTTTTTAAATTTTCCCAGAGGTTATTTGGATTTTCTGGCTGACAAAAAATACAAATAAAGGCAAAAGATTGACGCAACTGTATGGGCATTAAAAATGTTGACGCTTCTTTCATAAATGCTTCCTATTCCTTGTCATCAACCAATAAATTTCTTTTAAAAGCTGCCTCTTTAAAAGTATTATATAAAACTCCATTTACAGTTCTCAAATATTCAAAACTTGTGGCGCCAACAACATGAAGTAATAGTAAACGTAGGAAAAATCTCTCGCCGGATTTAGGATCAACAGTATACATCCTTGAAATTATATTGTTTTGTCTTTGCCTTGGTTTCCACTTATTAGCGCTGAAAGTATAATGATATGGTATAGTGACATAAATATTGACGGGCATTAACATCATTTTTATTTAATTCAAACCAGACAGTTAATGTAGTATTTCTGCCGGCAGATTTCTCTAATGCCTGACGTTCTTGTCCTTCTATAAAATATACCGGTTGATGAAATGGCAAGTGTATTGCTAATCGATTTATACCGTGAGATCGATCATGCATACGATTTTCTAATAATCTCCACATGGCTTCACATGCACATACATATCGGGCATTTATATGCATTCTAATTTCATCATGAGATTGAAGCGAATTAGTTTTAAGATCTATATTAGCGCAGTCGTATCCTTTGTAAACGTACTTAAAAATATATTTGACGGATTTTATTGATGTACATATTTCAACATTTATGTGTGCATTAAATTTTAATAATAGATATTTGTTATAAGGGATTACGTATCGATTATCAACTGGCTTACCTCCGACATGATTAAAACCCTTATCTCTACGTTGATAAAATGGATATCCATTCGCATTGTGTTGAGATTCTTTTTGAAAATCTTTCGGAAATTTTTTTGTACACGAACCATTTTCCATGCATGGTGAGTGAGGATTCAAAATACCACATGGTCCATGTATCATAAAGCGAGTTACAATATCATATAATCGGGGTTCGATATTTTTATCTGGGATTTCAGCTCGAACAAAATTATCTATACACTCGGTTGTTTCAATTTTATTATTTTCGCTTAATATAATGAGCAGATGAGCATGAGGTAATCCTCTCTTTTGAAATTCTATGGTATAAACATACGCCGAACATTTGCCAAAGAAATCTTTTTTAATAATATCGTGTAATAATTCAGATAATTTTAAATGAAAAACTCTAGCTAATAAATCAGGTCTATGCGAAGGGTTCTGTCCTTTATAAAGATTTTCTTTAATTTCCCTCCAATTGGGATTGCATGTAAAAGTTATAAATAAATCAGGCTTACCAAACTTAGAAACGATAGCCATAGCATCATGATATCTATCACACATGTTTCTTTCGGACCCCTGAAAAGAAGAAGGCAAAATAACGGCTCTTCCTAGAGGTAAATTAGTATTATCATTTGCTTTAGAAATATGATCCATAAACCCTGAATATTCCTCTACACGTAATTTTGATTGGTTAAATTTTATATAATTCAAATTATTAGCTTCGACTTGGAGGTAAGAATCAACAACATATTGATGAAATAATCGCCCAGCATAAAGAATAGGATTAAAAATGTTAGCACGAATAGCTAACCTTGATATTTTAAATTGTAACATAGTTATATTTGATCTTGTTCCCTTGTTAAATGGTCCATTAAATTTCATATCCGTATGCCATCCATGATCACCATAAGAAAATAGTAAAGGATACACCATAGGATCTAAATTTGGGCTAAGAATATTTAAGATAACTAAATTTGAATCATCATTTCGTGGATAAACTTTAACATCACGTTGAAAAGGTGGTTCTCCATCATCGTTATTAAAAATCATTGCTACTTCATCAATAGTAGGAATATTAAATCTTCTTCTATCATTAGCACGATCACGGCGAAAAATCATATTTACCTTTGATATAGGACGGTTTTCTAACCTAGCTTTCATTTCTTCGGCCTTCTCAACCTCACCCAATGTTTTAAAGCTAATAGCATATGGATTTATTTGACGAATTAAAATATCAAGTTTTTTTAATAAATGAATATCACAGGCTGAATTTTCTTATAAAAGTACATGATTTTCAATAGCCTGAGATGTTTCAAGAACATTTAATTGTGCATATTTTGGGGAAACGCCATTAGGAGGATATAAATGTGAAGTTCGATGATAAATTTGACCATGAACCCTAAAACAGTATGGGCCTTTATTTAATAAATTATCATTTTTAGCCCCCATCGAGGCAAAGGCCAAGGAGCTGTTGTATGAGCGGATATTCTGAGAGAAATTTTTATAATAATGATTGTCTAAATTTGAAAGTAAATCTATTAAAAAATCTGGATATTGTAGAGAAGGCAATAAAACACGACCTTTGTGGCAGCAATTTTTAAATTTTCCATCAGATGGTTTTTCAGAAATAAAATTTAATGCATTACAATATGGGCATAGAATATTTAATGGCCCACAGTAATGTTCAACTTGTTCTTGATTTTCAGTATTTTCAAGATGATTGGATGTTGAAGCAAATTGTTTATTTCCAGTATCTTCAAGATGGTTGGATGTTGTAGGAATAAGACTTTGTTCGTTCCTTTTCTTGATACGACAAAGTGCCTGTCTCTTTCTAGCTTTCTCCTTATGTTGATTTATTATTAAATTTAAAAATATAAGAATTACTCAATTTTATAAAAATAAGTTTAGTTTAAAATATTTATTATTGTGAACATAAAATAAAATTACTAAATATATACTTCATAAACATATTTATAAAAAATAATGGATAATATTAGAATAGCCCCTCACCTAATAAATATATATTTCGGAATCACATCTTATAAGATAGGAAAAATCTGATTCCTCGTCATTCTTGACGGGCTATCAGCTAACATACAATACAAATTAAAATAAATATAAAATTTACTCTTGTTGAAGCAATAATGCCTTCTTTAGATTTTGGTAGTATGAAACGTTCCATTGTTTGGTTTTGTTGAATGGTATCTTGTGTAGGAATCTAAAAAAAAATAATAAAATAGATTTTAATAGCCCACAGTAATGTTCAACTTGTTCTTGATTTTCAGTATCTTCAAGATTAAGATGTGTAAATTGAAAGTATATGGTTTTGCTCGATGTGGTGTCTGTTAAAAAATATAATTTTTACTGATGATTGAAGGTTTTGCTCGATGTTGTGTCTGTTAAAAAAAATATCAATTATTGTAATTATTATATTATTATATGTTTTGTAATTGTTTTTTGTATTGAAATTCTTTTTTTGAAAAAGGCGGTTCGATTTGGTTTATGAATGCGTGTTTGATATGTTTAAGCTATGATGATTTTTATTGAATATATATATCATAGATTTAATTCCTTAGCTCTTGTAAGATTATCTGCAAACATTTTTTTCATATTAATGTTCCTTCCTGCCTATTGCCTCAAAATACTTCTGAAATGCTTTCCATGAAAATCCATTTTGCTAATATGATCTAAATTGGCTTAAAATTGCTATGATAGATAGATAGATAAATTATAGATATATAGAAAGAACAATATATTTGACATCAATTAAGAAAAAATTCAACTTAGAAATATAATGCTATTTAAAATAATATATAATATTATAGATGGCGCTAAATATCATGAAGATTAAAACTACAATTTAACATAACCTAAATACCTCCGAATTTGTTAATATTAATAAAATATTATTAAGAATCACTCCCTATTTAAGTAGGACAAACGTCAATAATTAATAAAGAAGTTGAATAATACATAATATATTAACAAAATTATAATTGACTATTATCAGGTAAAATAATTGACTATATAATGTCACAGTTGTGACTGTGAATGTGACAAGCCTATTAAAAATTGATGCAATAAAAATTATTTATGAAATTTATGTGTGTCATAATCATTTTTTGGAGGGGGAGGGGATACTTTTCATGGGGGTATTCTGCTTCATTCGCTCAAAAAGTGTAGGGGCCACTGGTTATTGACAATCTCAAAAATTTATTAGGATATTTCCCTTTGCTGTTTTTTATAATTCTACAATTATAAACCCGATAGTGATATTAAAGTGGCTAGCCCTACAGTGTTATTCCCATAGGCAACACTAGCTTTTACAATCTCAGGGGCTTAAAATTTTTTTTTATATTACTTTATTTTTTTAGCAAATATTTTCAACAACTACCCTTATTTTAGATATTTTTAAAAAGAAATTCAAATTTTTGATGGTGTTTTTAAATTTCAGGGGGTTAGAACTCCTGGGGACACTTCTAGTTATGCATTACAACAGAGTTATATATAGTAAGAGAGCAAAGCTTGGTTCTCTCGAACAAAACCCCATTTGTCTGTCGATAGTGTTAAGAACTTTCAAATCCATGATTTTCCATTCTCTAGATGTCAAGAATCTTGTTTACCAAGAATATTATATATTCATTAGGCCTTTTAATTTTAGTAAGTCAAACTTACACCACTATTGCCACTGATATTTCATCAACACAACAAACACCCAACCCACAATCATGGGTTATAAACTCATAACTCTACCTAAATTCCAACTATCTCTCACATACTTTGTAGAGTACTTACTATTTTCGCGAAATCCTTCAATAAATTGATCCTTCCAACTAACTGAAAAAAGATCCAGAAATCTTTAATTTGTAAAACCTGATAGTTTTATTGATTTTACTCTTAAATACCAAGTAACAGAAATAATCATTTCTCCGAATTCATGTAAAACTTCAATATCCCTCTTCGCATTTGTAGTATTGTTAAAAAGCCCGATTTGGGTCGATTTTAAAAAACGGCCCGATTAAGATTATAACCAGAATAACATTATGTAAAATTAAAGATTTTGCACATAGGTAGCAGATGCTTAAACATCTATTTCTTAAATCTCGATGCTTACATAATATAACCAAATCGGGCTTTTTAACAACATTACTCATTTGGACAAAAGCTTACTGTGTTGAGAAATATTGAGCACATTTTTTGTTGGGTAATTTTGATATGTTTTTAAAATAAATTTTCTTATAATTGCATCACAATGGTCAGAATGCCAGGATTTAAAAATAAGCCAAATAATTATCAAGGTAAATTAATTGTATTTTAATTTTGTTTTTAATTTTAAATTAATAATGTCTTTTTAGCATATGAAGGGCAAATTTTCCTTTCTTCATAATTTATATTTTAGGTTTATATTGATACAAGATCTAGCAAATTAGTTTGGCTTAATATTATATTTCTAAAATAGACAAAGATTAAAATTTCCATTGAATATATCTATATTAAAATGGATTAACAATAAAAAAGCAGAGATCGTTTTTTATATATGTAAATAATTGAAGTTTATTATAATCATTCAAAAATTACATAATAATTATCATTTATATACACGATACAAAGCATATCTATATTATATCCCGATGTCCTCACTACGTCATCGTGACGTCATGTCATCGCTACGTATTTATTTTTATATTTTTTATTTGTTGATTTTATTAATTTATTTTATACAAACAGATGATCCTACCAACAGTCTTAATTTATTTTTAAATAGATTATATTTTTTATTATTTTTAGCGATTTATCACATTTGCTTTTGCAAAAATGGGTAGATATTTATAAATAATACTGCTTGGACGATGGTTTAACAAGTTAATCATTTTCCTTGAATTCCTGAAATCGGAGTGCCAGTATTTTAAAAAAATTCTCTAAATAAGGGCACTCTAGGATTTTCATGTGAAACAGACTGAAGGCTATGGATCATACAAGTATAATGTAAATCTTCAGGCAACTAATCCTTATAATTGCCTTATTCACTTATATCTGTTTGTTTTCTGAAGTTAAATAAGAATATTAAATTAAGTTAATTATACTAAATTTTTTATCTACTTTATAAATTTAGAATAAGAATCTTTAATTAGGTTAAAGCATTGTGTAAATTTAATCAAGAAAGTGTTAATTAAAAATAGGAAATTTGAATGCAGGTTGATCTTATGTGGTTCAAAAACATTATGACCAATGTAAACTGGGCTTTAACACTTACTTTCACTAAGTATCACTAAATATCACAAAATTTCAAACAACTACTTGATATAAATTGCCTTATTCAATCACATTCCCCTGTTTTGAAAATTTTAAATATTTGAATAAGTCTATTAAATTGTGTTAAATTAAACTGAATTTCTTATCACATTTTCCTGGTTTGAAAATTTTAAATATTTGAATAAGTTTATTAAATTCATCTATCTCATAAATTAGATTATGAATTATTAAAATTAAGCCAAACTGTTGTGTAACTAAAATTAATAAATTGATGACTAATAACGATACAATCTTCTAAACTTAATAAGGAAATACTTAATCTGAAAACAGATAAATTTAAACGTAACGTAGGAATGTAAATAGTTTTATTCTTCCTTTTCCTCCAATTTAAATCATTTATTTTTGGGGCCATTTCTATAAATGTTCAAAAAATAAATCACCCTTATCTTATTTTGTTTCATTCGCATGACTTTTGCGCACAAATAAATATAAAATAATTTTTAAGAATACAAACATAAAATAATTCTGGAAAATGTAAAGGAATAGTGAATAATTCAAAAGTATCACCTTCTATCTCCTGATAAGACTTAATAATTTAGGCAAGTCATTTTTTAACTTTTTAATTAAATTTATATTATTTTAATCATCCTACCTATTTTTAAGGCTATCCATTTTGTCAGGCTGCACAATATGTCCTTTTATCTCTTTGAATATTTTATCTAACTAACTGAAAAATATACAAATTATATTTTAAATATTTAACTAAATTAATATAACAATTTTTAAGGATCCTACTTTTTTAAAAGCTTACCATTTTGTCGAATCCAGAGATTTACCTATCTCCAGGTTTGGGAAAAAATTTTGAAAATTACTATGGGTTGGCCAGGCTTGAGAAAAATTTATAAAATTATTATGAGTTGGACTGGGCTTGGAAAATATTTTTATAAATTATATTGGGCTGAGCTTGGGGAAAATTATGAGCTTGGACGTTTGATAATTTTTTTTATTATTAACTATGGGTCAGACATTGGCCTAAAACAAATTATTTTGCAGGCCTGGGCTCGACCTAATCAAAAAACCAAGGCCCATGAAAATCTGATTTTTATTGTATTTATAAATTCATTATGATTATTTAAATGTTTTATTTCAGCTCTCAACTACCAAAATTATTATGATCGTTCATTCAGCTTGGATGAATTTTTCAAAATTATTATGAATTTGTACTTTACCTGGGAATTTTTTTAATATAAAATATTATGTATAAAATCAGTAAATTTGACATACTGGTATTATCAAGTAAAAACTTTAAATTTATTCTTACTAAACCATAGTATTTTGTCTTAGTTTTAATGGATTGAACCTGGCCTGAAGGGGGGAAGGGGTAAAAAGAAAAAAATTGGATATAATTTTCAAATAACAGGTAACATCTAGCATAAATATTAGAAGAAAATTCTCATTCCCCGTCATTTTTGACGGGCTATCTACTAGTATTTTTTAAAATTTTGATTGTAGTTAGCATTACAAACATGAATAAATCCTCTAAATTGCTGAATACAGCTAACATATGCTACCAGTGATTATAGAAAATACCTAGTTATTACGACATACCTACGATATTTTTATCGTATATTTTTTTGGGGCTAATTTACCAATATTTCTCAACGGTACTTTGGAATTACTAAATGATTTACCAAATGTAAGGGTATGCTTAAATAATATTATTATTACAGAACCCTCACTTAGAATATACAAGTATTACATCGTATGCTAAAATGAGAAGAAAATAACCAGCGAAAATGAAAAAATATAAGATATTTAGGACACCACAAAGTTTGTAAGCAACCCGTCTAATATTTATTAAATATTAAAGAACTATATGTTTTATATGGCCTAATTAATTATCAAGATAAAATAGATCAGTTCTATATGGTAAGAGTGTCAAATTAGATAAACTAAATGATACCAATACCTAGATACCATGGTAGATAATAGAATAAGAAAATGTGTAAGAATAAAAAATCATATAATTAACAAAGATCTAGTACCATACAAAACCGTTAATAGAGATAGCTTGTGATTTCTCAGATAATTGATTGAGGGAGGGGGGGGGGGTTACTGTAATTTTTTATAATACCAGATGAGACGCTTATGGGTTTTCTAACGTCTAGATAAGCGGAGGAGAGAGCATTTAGCTTCCAAATTTTTGAAGAGGGGTGTGGGCTAGGCATTTAATGGAGGTAGGCTAGAAATAGCATAATTTTATTAAGGAGTTATCATAACTCTTTAGATGGCAAAATATATTGCTGTAGAAAATTATTTCTTACTTTTATAATGAACCTATTATAAAACAATTATATAGCTTAACATCTACTAAATCAATATATTGAGACAATTATGGTCATTTATTTTTAAATAAAACTTACTCGATATTTTTCCGCTATCTTTTAAATATAATCTTAAAAGTTTCGATATTCTACACATTCATGCCAAACAATATACAAATAAATAATGCATTCGTCGTAAGGGATTTTAAATTTAATTTAGGTTCATAAAAAAATAAATAAATTCAATTTTTTAATAGTTGTAGAGTAGAAAGTATTGATAAATTAAATTATTATTTTTACAAATTAAAAGCAAGTTTTTGAGGTAATAGGTTTTTGAAAACTAAGAGGGGGGGGGGGTAGAGTTTGCTTCTAATAAATATCTTGTAAGGTAGACGCTGTGCGACCCAAACAATCAAGGAAAAATTGTAAGTTCCTATAGAAATGGAAATGTCAGCCTTAATATTTGCCGTTTTCATATTCTCTAATGTATTTTGGAGGAAATTTTTTTTAGCAGAACAAACCACTTGCAAGAATATGCAATCAATATACCTAAACAGAATTTGAATATAAAATAAGTAAAATTTAATAATTTTTTAAACAACAACTATAATTCAAATTTTTAGAAAATAAGCATTTTTATTATAAAAAAAAAGTGAAAACTCATGGTTATTTTTGTAAAAATATTACACAGCCAAAGGCCTAAATTAAGTGAAACAGAGGATCTCCAATAAAATGGGGAAAACGCAGTTTACTGCAAAATTGTGTGAAAGTCATAGTAGATATTCTAAGGATATATATTTCGGTTAAATCAAATTTTTAAATTTAAATATGGGCTTTAAAAATGATTTAAAATAGAAAAAATAGCACATTGACGGAAAAAATATAATGATGCCACCGCATACAATTATTATAAGCAAAAAAAACATTGTTTATAAATTTTATATAAAATGGGCAAAAAATAATCAAGCTACTCTAAAAAAGATAGTCAATAGTATATTATTTTTTGATAATGGTACCAATAATGTGTTACTTTTTTTGTCAAATAACGATACCTGTAGAGTGCTTCCTAAAAGTATATAAAATATAATAATCACCTGAGGGAATAGATTAGCCCCTATTTTATTCTCCGAATAAATAAAACAAAATTCAATAATTTTTAATACAATATTCATCAATTCTATAATTCCCCTCCCCTTCCCTCTTATTATCAATATTATTTTTTGGATTCCTTATCAACTATTTTATTCCTACTAGTCTCCTACAATTATTCAATTTAAATAAAGATTTTACATCATACCCTACCACTAGTAGTGAGCCTGAACACCAATTCGGCAGTATCGGGATCTGACATAGTATTGCTTCTTTTAAGCAATCTTTTATAACGTGTAATTTTAAATCTAAAGTCTTATATTAATATTTAAACTAATATCTATACTTACTCTATGCAGATAGGTATTATTCTTTAATAATTATGATTTTTTAAAAAACATATGTAATAAATAAATTATTAGGCAAATTTATTTATTTCTTTAGGCATTCTGTCTTTAAATAGTATCAACTAATTAAGAAGGTTTAAAATGAATTCACGTTTTTTAAATTCTTTTCAAGTTCGTAATAGTAATATAAGATGTTTCTCCCTTAATTCATGTAATCTGCAAAAGGTATCAAATTTTTTTTAATTTTAAACTGAATTTACATTATTAGTTGACAATTTAAAATAATGTATTAAAGGAAATGCTGAAATAAACCTCTTTATCTTTGTAATTTAAAAAAAATATATATTGTAACTTAGAACTATATATTAATATGTTTATTTTGGGCTAGAAACAATAATCATACCCTCATATTTCTAAAAATAAATCCCTAGATATTCTCTCCAAAACCTGTTTTAATCAAGATATATTTATAAATTGGGTTATAACAATAAATTATTTTGCCCTCCAAAATAAAATTGTTACCTTTTGCTTTGTTTTTATGGCACAAACTAATTTTCCTATTTTAGCTCATAAAATATTTTATTTACCACAAATTATTTTTTAACAATAAAAACAAATGATTAAATATTGACTTTGCAAAATAAATAATTTAATTATATATACTGGCATTTTAAAATTATATATTGAACTAAGAATAAGGTTTGTTAAACAAATTGTTTCAATATTATTTTTTCACAATACTATATAATGAAAGTTTAGATTTACTTATTATATAGCTTTTAAAAAAGAATAAACAATTGAGGAATCTAATGGCTTTTATCTTAAGCCACCATATAATATCAACTTAGAATAACATATTATTATGAATTGTAGTTAAAATATAATATTATTATGCAAATTGACTAGCTATGGCAAACATTTATTATTTTTATTAAATTCATTTAATCATACAAAGTTTTTATCATGTCTGTTATCAAAATAATATTTTATGAATCTAAGCTGATTTTTTAAATTTCTGGCAGTTCTAAAAGAGATCCTATAAAAATATTGATTCAGGGCCAATATCAGTATTTTGAAAAAATATCAGATAAAGCCATTATTTTTTAAAAACATCAGATCCAACATTTTTTATTGTTTTTGTTTTGGTTTTTTTATGATTCTATTATAATTATATTATTATACATAATTTCATAATAATAAATTAACAAAAGGAAAGAAAATTCAATTTATTTGTAATGTTTAAAAAATCAAATTATTAGAAAAAATAAAGTAGCTAAAAATTTGATTATTCTGTTATCTGTAACAATAAAATTGAACATATTGATTGAGTTGCATTTAGATAGTGTTTAAACAACTCGATTTTACTGATTTTTAATGGCTAACTCAAAATTATAACATCCACTAGTGTTGTTAAACTGCTCGTTTTGAGGCGAATTTTAAAAACGGCTAACTCAGTTTTTTATCCAGAAAAATATTACGCAAGCCTGAAAATTTTGCTCATAGAAGGAGCAAAGACATAGACATATAGTGTCGAAATTTCGAGGCTTAGTCAATATTTTTCTAGCGAAAATATTGAGTTAGCCGTTTTAAAAAATCGGCTCAAAACGAGCCGTTTAACAACATTAACCCAAGCTTTAAAATTTTTCCTACAGATGACAAAAAGGTTTGGATATTATTGGCGATATTTCAAGACTAAAGTCATTTCAGCTATTTACAAAATGTTTTCTGAGGCACGTTTTTTGTATAAATTTTTACTTCCAAACAAAATTTTTTTATAGCTTATTTTTTTTATTACAAAAATAATATCCCCAGAAAATGGACCAATGTTATTTTAAACCTAATATTATTTACTTGTTAATATATAAAACTTAAAGTACTTACAAGGCCTAATTATTTTCAAAGAGCCTATACAAGGAACAAGCAAACTGTTTATTTAGAGGAATAAGTTATTTAAGAGAAGACTTAATTCTTAAATAGATTACTTTTATTAAAATATTATTCACCAGATAAGCTTACATATTATTATAAAATTTAAATTAATAGAGATTAAAAAATGTTGGCAATGTATATCTTAAATTTATAATACATGTTTTACAATATTGAATTAAGAGATGCATTTAAGAAAAAATAAGGGATAAAAATAGAAAATCTATTGATGCTGCTATGACTTATAAAGAATTAAAATCATTGTTCTAAGATATTCTGGGATAACTGTAATATCTCATTTGCTAAATATTCATTTCTATAACGATGATCATTTATAGTTATCTAACAATTCTATTATCATAATTCCTTAAATTCATTGAATACCTTGTTTTATTAACAACAAAAGTATAAATTAATATATAATAAAATAATGATGCTTAATCAATTTAAAAATACTTTGATTAAAAATTATATATAAAAAGGTGTTTAGTAAAACTCAACAAGATATGATGCAATATACTATTTTACCTTTTCGAATATAAAATTCACAGTTCATCTAATACTTTACTTGAGTAATTATTTCACCTGGTTTAAAATTATTGCATATTCCACAATCGTATTAGGCGCCATTTAATCATTAAAAAAATGTCAAACTTAGTTTGATATTTTTAAAAAAATCTCATGCATTAAAAATAGGCTGTGTTTGAAAGGATACTTCTATTAGGCTATATCTGTTCTTTCTCTCTTTGGATAAAATAATGTTGTGTTTTGCACAGTGGCCTAAGGTAATAATATTTTGGCGAAAATCTTTATTTTGCCGTTTTTAAAATTTGGCCAAATCGAGTCGTTTAACCCTACATTGACAGTTAGAGTGAATTCGCGACGGAGTGTACAAAATATGATATAAATTATGATAATTTTACATCCATTTTTGTATACTTCGCGAATGCAGGGTAACAATTCTATATTCAGCCATAAACATTGCTGTTTGGCCAATCTTGCCGGTAAGCCCCGTAAAAAAATCCCCAATAATAATTCTTAAAAAATAATTCACCGATTTTTATTCCATGGATATATTTTATAAGGAATTTTTTTTCCTGTTTTATTAATTTTGTAATTTCTAATATCTTAAAAAACGGGGATTTTTTTCCTGGGGAATTATTTTCCTAGATTCAATCTTGTCCCTAAGAAGTCGTGTTAGACTTGAGTTTCGTTTATAGTAAACGCGATTTGTTCAAGCGGTGCGATATTTGCAAGATCAAGCCACTAATTTGGAATAGTTTATAAATACGGATCGTAACGATGAAAGCGATATGATAGAATTAGAAAAACATATGTTGCGACTTATATTTTAAAAATTATTACGCTATAAAGAATTAACTGATTTAATATAAAAAAATGAATTTACAATTGCGGAGCTCTATTACCACCCCCTCTAGGCATCTGTATAAATTCAGTCTCACCTTTCTCAATGTTCTCGAAATTGTATTCGTCGCATGCACAAAGCTCACTTTTATAAGAGAAATTAGAAATATTAATTTTCCTTTAAAATGTACTTAATTTTCTAAATATGTATAACCCTAAAATCCATCAATAGTTTTTTCAAATACTCTAATTTTTATCATAAGTATAATCTTATTAAAAAATTATTTTATATTCTCTTAATAAAGAAAAGAACAGTTTTTAGTACCTTTGCTCACCCTTTTCCAGATCTCACGATTTCGCTATGAGAATATGAATAATGCATTTGCCACGTTTTCTCGACACTTTTATAAAAATAATTAATGATACATTTTCAAATATTTAAGCAAACATGTGTTTTTACGAAAGCACGCCATATCACTGATGCTATTTTCTATGTATGCGCTAATCATTTGAATTGATCGATGATTATTTCAGACAAATATTGTTTAATTTGATTAATATATTATAAACTCGATTAAAATTGAATTTTTGAATTGTCAATATTCCCAGCCAAAGACCTGACAAATAGTTCGGGATTCTATTAGATTTCACCCATTTGAGCATAAATAAGTATTTCGATTTAGACAATGAAATATGATTATCGATTTCTGTTCTTCTCGAATCAATAAATTTATTTTTGTCTTTAAATTTATGGGATAGTGAAATCGAGTTCATTCAAATTTATCAAATTTTAGGTTATTTAAGTTTTGGATTATTTATTATCAAATTTATTTTACAATTGGAGGCCATTTATATTTCAGTTATTTCTTCTTTTACCAATTTATCGTTTCAATTTAAACAAATTTGATGCCATTTTAACCGAAATTTATTTTTGATTAGGGGTCTCTAGTATGTAAGTCACTTAATTCGAGATCTGAAACCCGACCCATGGTTTGGATCATTGCAATTAATTTTTATCTTGGTTGGGTCGGGAAATATTTTTTTCTGGTGGGTCAGGTTGGGTCTGGAATATGGATTTCAATTGTTAGGGTCAGGTCGGAAATAAAATTTTTTCTTGTAGATAGTGGTGGAAAATTGCCGGGAAAGAATGTTAATGATTTTTAATAAAAAAAATTGGGAATTTTGGGAATATTCCCTTTCCTTAATAAATTCGCAGGGAATATTCCCGAGTTTAATCTCCTTACTTGCACATCTCTAGTATATAATATTGAATGCCTTGCCAGACAGAACAAGGGCATTTTTATCATTCGATTCCATTTCTGGTCAAAAAAGTGTTCCAATCTGGGAATGTTGCTAAATACAGTTCTTATTTTATTTATTTCTATATTTATTATCAATTTTTTTATTTTATTTTTATTTGTTATCAATCAATCAAGGCAAGGCACATATCTAAACATTACCACATTTGTTTAAAAAATATTATTTTAATCTGTGTCCTGATTGGTGGAGTTGATATATTTTTACTTTTGAATAACACATTTGATAAACAAAATTAACCATTGAAATTTTTCAACTTTTCAAATTATTTTTAATTGACTTTTTTAAAAAAATATATGTTAGCGGTGAATCTTTTGAGCATTTTTAAAATTTAAAAATCTGATCTTCCCATTAATATATTCAAACATGCCTATCCTATAAATTTCAGATAATTTTCCCATGAACTATTGAATTTAACATAATTTATATCCGTTTTTTCACATAAATTTTTTATATAATTTATAAATGACAGAGTTTAATGGTAGAATTATCTATAATTCATAAGATACGTATTCTAAACATGCTTAATACAATTCCGGTAAAACCAGATTATTAAATTTAAAAAAAAACTTTCCAAAAAAAATTTAAATTGAAAAAATAGCACACTATAAATCTTAATTATTTACATAATATAATTAGTATTGTCAAGCAAACTTATTTTTTTTTTTCAAAAAAAGAAGAAAAACAAAATAAATATATCATATTTAATATGTAAAATCGATCTATGGTCCAAAATTGATTTTTTTTTAACTTCTACTTTTCATTTAGCTTTAATCTATTTTTGATGCATTTTTCCTAAACTGTTTATTGAGCAATTCCATTAAAAATAGATTATAACCAACGAAAAGTTAAAAAAAAACTGCCTTGGACATAGGCGTATCCAAGATTTTCCTTTGGGGGGAGGGCACTATTAGCAATGATATAAGAATACCTAGACGACGATGCATTCATTAAAAGTGTACATCAACGAAAACAGTTGGGGGACTCCATTTTGGTTACCCATATCATTATTAAAAATTTTAAACGAGAGGGCAATTCATTCCTATGCCTGACGCAAACTTAAAAAGTTGCCTGATCATCGAGATAATAAGGAAGCAAGTTATCAATTTAATAAGTAGTTTTAACTTGGAAATAATTACTATACGGGTTACCAAAATGGCGGGCCCAGCTGATTTGCATTCAACGACGCCTTCAAATGCAATATTATAAATGCATCGTCAGTCTAGGTATTATTATATGACATTGACTATTTGGCAGGTTTTTCCTCCATAAATTCTTTAGGAGGTTCTTAGGTCCACTTATTATAGTCCTTTGGCTATATTATATTTGTATAAAAATTTTGAATCATTCCTTCAAATTCAAGGAAATTTTATTATCTTAAAAATGATATTTATGAGAACAGGCAAATTTGCTATTTGGTTACGCGCTTGGACAGAGGGTAATATAAATTAGGAGATCTCTTTATTATTTTTTTTCGGAATGAGCATTCCCATTTCACAGTTTTGCCTAAATTCCGTTAGAAACCTTTTTAATAACCAAAGTTTTAAGCTTAATAACTAATCCACCAACCGTTACGATTTTCTGGACCCCCTCGGTTTGAACTGATTCATAACCATTTTTAAAATGGTAATTACTAATTATTATATTGTTTTAGAATTATGATTTAAAATATATTTTAACGACAATGTATTTTTTATAAATTATTAACGGCAAAATTGCCTACAATTCATAAGATAGGTATTATCTATACAAGCTGGAATACATTTCCTGCTTAATCAGTTTTTACAAATTTTTTTTAAAAAAAACGCTCAAAAAATGATAAAGTTTCAAAAAATAACATATTGTTGATATCGCTAACGTAATATACAATTTAATAATTGGTACGAAAACATTTAAAATACGATTTTTTAGATTTTTGTAAAAATTAACGCGCTTAAAAGATTATTTAAGGTTGAAAATTAAATATATTTTAAGTTTAAAAAAAACGTAAATATAAATAGATTGAAAATTTTTTTTTATCTAATATTACTGCGCACAAATTGGGCGTTTCAATTTTGGTCAACGATCAATTCTTTAAGAACTCCGCAAATTCTTGTTGTACAAATAATAATAATAAGGGTGGGGGGGGGGGTACACTAAAAATAGATTCCTAGTTATAATTATTTGTAAATTTAACTTAACCTTATATAAAATGTAAACTTATCTAATTAGAACGGAATATTTATACGAAATTAAAGGACAGACAATTAATATAATTTACAAAGACCAATTATCATTTTTTCGTAATTTACTATGCATTTATAGGAAACGCGTTATCTTCGATCGTTGCGTTATTTAACGGAACGTTATTACAGCTGATTTAGTTTTAAAAACTAATTTTAGAATAGAGATAATTATTTTATATAATATTTAAGAAAATTCATTATACCCTTTTGAATACTCTATTATTTTTATAATCGTATCTTATTGCATATTTTTTATCACGCATCGCATCATATGTTTTTCAAATTTTATCATAAAACATCATTTTTATAACTATTTATTGGCTAAAATTTTGAATCGACGATACATATAAAAAAAAGGCAGCAACCACTATTTAAACAACGGATTATGGCAAGACACAATTTGCCCATTTTTAGTGCAAATATTTTGACGAAGATTAAAAGAATTAAATTATTTGGGGGTCGCCGCAGAGTACAGATATTTTATTTTTAGTGAAGCGACACGTATCTTTGAATTTTTTTCTAAAAACAAGTAAAATAATAGGCAAAATTTATAATTGACTATGCCATGAAATAAATCACTTACGATATTGATTATAAATTTTACCTAGAATTTGTTTGCTTTTGAAAAAATTTTTTAAAATTCAATTAAGTTATTTTCTTTAATTTTTGTTTACCTTTTATTTTTTTTTAAAAAAATATATATACCTTTATTAGATTATTATGGTCCTATTTATATTATGGTTAACAAATTTCAAAAATAAAACTTATTACAGCTAGGTAGAAGTGTTTGAATTTTCTCGCAACAAATTTATTCAAAAAATAGTCTAAACGGAATTTTGTTTAAAAAAAATGTAAACTTGGGCCTCATTGTTAGTTACCGCGATGCATAATGCCAAGTTATGGCTATTCTATTGTCTAGCAGTGAATTATATACCACTTAGGCCACACCGCGGTTACTATAAATGAAGCCTTAGAACCGGAATAGGACTCTACCGTTATACATGAGGATTTGATTGACACTTTGGTCTTAACATTTATGACAAAAATATTTTTGATCTATCGTTGCAAAAAAAAGAAAAATTTAATTTGTATATAATATTAATGTTTGCCAATTTTTTTCAAAATTACTATATTTTCGTTCCATTACATGTTCATTTTTTATCCCTCGTCAAAAATATTCTATTTAATTTGCCAACATATCCAGTCACCGGACTTAATAAAATTTATAAAATAACTTATGTACATATATATCATAATAATTATATCTTATTCCGGTATATATATAAGTGTATATATACAATAATGATTGATATAGTGAATTTAAATGCAAATCTTGTTAATGGAAAATGTAAAACTAAGAAAAAACAAACGATAAAGTTTTTTTTTGAAATGAATACAACCTCAATATAATATCAATTTAAAATATTTTTATGTATAAAGAAAATATCGGTGATCGGTGCCCAGGGTGGCATAGGCCAACCCTTATCCTTGCTTCTCAAAATCCTTCCTTCTCTCTCCTCCAGTTCGATTTCTCATTCTAACCCTCAGATTCCGAGTACTTCTAAAACGACCTCCAATAACCCTCTTCCACCTTCATCGGCCTCCATCGCTGCCCAACACCCGACTTCGCACCTATCTGCTACCACCATAGGTCACTTATCCTTATACGACGTTGTAAACACCGAAGGGCTGGCCTGCGACTTGAGCCACATAAATACGCCTCCTACTGTGCGTTAATTAATTTCTATAACTTAATTTAGGCCTCGTTTACAGTAAGCGCGAAACCAATGTCGCTCAAACGATGCGTAATAATACCTAAACGGTAGCATAGCTACATAATTTAACATTATATATATTGTTAATTGCGCATTTCCTGAGGGACATCGCAATATTTCAGGATTACTCTGAACGAGGCCATAGTTTGCAATGACAACTTACCCTTAACACTATTGGCTAATGTAAATTCTACGAATACTCACATGATCATTAAGTTGACCTATCAGGCCTTTTTAAACGGTGTTTTTTTTAAAAAAAAATATTTAAAACCTTAGGTCGAGGGCTTCAAAGCTGCCGAAGGAAAGGAAAAAATCCGTGAGAACTTGGCGAAATGTTTGGAAGGCGCTGATCTGGTTATCATTCCTGCTGGTTTGGCTAGAAAACCCGGTAAACCATTCCCCTCCCTCGACGTCAGATAATTTTTTACGTTGAATTGATGTCTGTCTATACATTAAAAAAATTGTTGGATGTATATAAAATAAAATGAGATAGAAGATTTGTTTAAAGTTATATTCATTATAAAATAAATTCAATATTTGAATACAAATAATTAAGATGGGGACAGTTTGTAATAACATTCGATATAATAAGTATACTGATACCTTGAACACTTTATCTTTACGGAAAAATGCAGAAATGGAACTACCTTTTACCGTGTTGTATATATTTTAAAAGTGTTAAGTTAAAAAATGTTTCAATTTCTTCGTTCCCTCTATCATATCAAAAAAAAATATCAATTAATTTAGGCATGACGAGGCAAGATCTGTTCGATACTAATGCCACCATAGTCAAGGATATCGCGCAACTGGCCGCTAAGCACTGCCCCAAGGCATGCTTTTGCATTATCACCAATCCGGTAAATCCGCGTAAATAAACTTACGCGAAACGTAAATAAATTATTCATTTATTTATGAAAGGAATAAATTTGAACTGTACGAGCAAAAATAATTAGAAAAGGAAAATAAATTTATTTTAAAACCAAGTCCCAATTTCTCGAGTAATAAAAGGTTTTCTCCATTTTTTTTAAAAATAAAATTACTTCAATATTTTGATTTTGCGTTTTTTTTTTGAAAAAAAGTTTAATTTTAAAAAATTGACCGATCAGGATTTGTAATCGATAGATAATGAACTATTCATTTTTTTTAACTGTGAAAGAAATGTTAGTTAGATAATTTAAGATTATTATATTGAATAAATTTAATCTTAAATTCACTGTTAGATTTTTTTTTTTATCTCGTTTACTAATGTTTACTCATTTTTTTTAGAAAAATCATAATCCATTATCTACGTTTTTGATTGAATAAATTTAATCTTAAATTCACTGTTAGATTTTTTTTTTATCTCGTTTAATAATGTTTACTCATTTTTAGAAAAATCATAATCCATTATCTACGTTTTTGGTGTTTTGAACGAATATATTTCTTATTTTCAATTCATTTTTTTGGCTATCCAGGGATCCAAACCGGACCTTTAAACCGATGTTAACCTATATTATATCGAATCTGAACCGAACCTAAACGGAACCGCTATATTACTCTGATCCAGTTCTAGCCTCATAATTTTGTGCTTATGAAATTATGTAAAAGTTATTATTAGTATTATTGAAAACATTCTAATTCATTTTTTATAACCATTAGTAAATCGCTATTTTACAACATTTAAATATTTTTAAGCTTAGGTCGTGTCCAGGGTCGACTTTATTTTGATATTAAATTGCTTTTAGTCTAGGATAAAAATTTTTTGAACTGGAACGAACACCCTATTTTTGATTTTTTTTAAATTTGATGGCATTGTTATTTTTCGTATTTTTATTCGTTTTTTCTTTAAATTTAAATTTTTTTTCTTTTGTTTTTATGCTTAGAAATAAATCAAATCCAATTTATAAATTATTTACATATAGTATTATAAATAGCACATCTAAATGTAATATTACTGACTAACAAACTATAAAGGTGAACAGGGAACAAATCTTGAGAATCACATAAAAAGAAACCACCCTCTAGAACTCATTAAATTTTACAAAATATCTCATCTCAACTAATAAAATGTATAAATCGAATGTAGGTTTTGTATACAAAATTGTTCAAACCCGTTTTTTTCGAACTAAACCTTAATTTCGAACCTTTATTTTTATCCGAACCTGAACCTAATATCTTAAAAAATATATCTTTTTCCTGGTTATTAATTACAAATGGTTTGTAATTAAAAGATTAGGTTATAATAAAAAGCAAGATTAATAATTTATAAAGCATAAAATGAAACCCTCCTTTCCTTCCCTCACCCCTCGTTTTTAGGAATTAAATCCAGAGGCTTGCAAGCCCGAAACCTGACCCGGTGGCGGCCTCCGCTACTAGCGTTAAGCTACTTCGAAACCTCCAAATTATTAATAATTGAATATATTTTTAATCATTCCAATTTGCCACACAATTTATATAATATTTATATTTAAAACAGGGGTTAATCGTATATGACATTTATTATCTTTAAAAGAAAAAAGATAAGATTTTATATATTTTTTAGTGCTAAAATTATTAATTTTGATGATTAAAATATAATAAGAAAGGAGGTGCAATTAATGTAACTTTCCCCATTTATATATTTTTTTTTTTAAAAACGCTACGCCTCCAGATTTGGCTAGGGGAGGTGGTATCCACATGATACCACTCGCAGAATTTAAGAAATATATTGAAACATATCGTCGCCTGAGAATTATATTATTCTATATCCACTTTTTGTCAAAAATGGCACATAAATCATTTTTTTAGTTACATTATAGCCAATATAAGGTTAAATATCCTCTTGAAAACAATTAGAAACATTTTTTTTAAAATTGCTCTTACGAAAAGTGGAGATAGAATAATCTAAAATAATATATATGTTCTTCTAACCTAGGGTAGGGATAAAATTGGATCTGCATATTTAGAGAGATTATTATATCTAAGGTGTTCTTTAAGATTTTCAGTGATTGATGTTAGTTTTTTTTTTACCTTAAATATTGGATCGATTCTTCGACGAAGTTCCCTAAGGCGATATAACCTAAGGAATAGATGAAACTTTAACAGAAACAAAAAATTATCGGCACTCTTTTTTTTTCTCCCGCGTCCTCAATTAGGTGAATATGGTCATTTAAAAATCCGAGCTAACTTAAAAATTTAAACCCCTACCAGTCTCTTAATTAAATATTATACATTGATATATATATATATCTATTTCCTTTTTTTTATCTAATTAAATAATGCTTCGATTTATGTTTTAAAATATGTTTATATACAGGTTAACTCTACTGTCCCCATATTTTCAGAGATTTTTAAGCATTTCGGGGTATATGATCCCAGAAAAATTTTCGGCGTAACAACGCTAGACGTAGTCAGATCCTGCACCTTTATATCCTCCGCTAAGGTTTAATTTAATTATATATTTATTTAAATAAAGATTTGACAGAAAATGTAAAAAAAAGAAAAAATATATTCACGAGAGCTTAAGAAGTATTGCATTAACACTTATGGGGAGAGGGGTAACTTGCCCCTTCTCCTAGAAATTATGTTAATTTTCTTAGAGATAATATGCTGTTATTCAAGATTTCTCATTTAAAAAAATTATTTTTTACGGTTACGATGGGTATTAATTCAGCTGCATAAGCAAGATGATCATGGATTGTGGATTTACGAGATACTTATTTAGCCACTTTAAAAAATTCTTTTTTTATTCATTAATTTATTTAAAGCCTTGGAAATTCGAATAAATAACTAAAGAGGAATATACAATAACTGAAGGTATGCTAATTGTTAAATTGGCCTATTGGCTGTATATTTCATAGTTGTCAGGTCTCAACATTAAAAAAAACAACTAAATGAGAACATCTCTCGTTTAAAGCACCGATAAAAAAATTTTTTTAATTAATGAAATAATAGGGAATGAGTCTCATAGAAATCCGGAATTTTTGGGGATTAATCAATACAGGTTCTTCGACTCTGGTATTTTAAATTATTTTTATCTAAAAACAAATTGATAAAAAGAGCCTTCCTACCTACAAAATGAATATACCCGTGATTGGAGGTCACTCAGGCAATACTATAGTGCCCTTGGTATCTCAATCCACTCCCCCTGTTTCCTTCAAAGAGGCCGATATAAAAGCCTTAACCAAGAGAATCCAGAATGCTGGAACGGAAGTCGTCAATGCTAAAGCTGGAGCTGTAAGTTAACATTTAATGAAAAATGGATTTGAATTAGGTTTTTTTTAAAAAAAATTCATTCATTGTTAAGTCGCTTAGTAATATTTATCCTTCGATGCGATTAGATCCGACTCGAAAAGAGCGAAATTCGCAAGAACTCTGAATTCAATATGGCTAAGCAATTGAATTTGCGCTATTTATTTCGCAACGAACCAATTTTTTGCTCAAAATAAAAATTATATCAAATAAAATCGCACCATTTTAATAGCATGCTAGGATGTTAGCCTAGAACATTTATAATAATATTTAAATTTTTTAAAATATTTTAGGGATCAGCAACTCTGTCCATGGCATACGCCGGAGCAAGATTCGCTCTTTCGGTTAGACAAATATTATTTATTTTTTTTGTGCGCGTGTTAATGAGAAATAGAGAAGGGGATGAAGGAAGGAATTAAATAGGAATAATGAATGTAAGCAAAGAAGTTAGAAAAAAAAACATGATCGTTTTATTTCATGGGTGTGGAAAATTAAAAACAATTTTTTTTTTTGTAAATTGATTTTAAATCCAATTTTTTTTAGTTTTCCTTAAATATTTAACGTTATTAACAAAATGTATCACTAAATCGATATAATATAAAAAATCATTTGATTAATGATTATTAGAACTCATAAATATATTACCAGCTGATTTTTGCTATTATATATAATTTTTCGAATGTATTTATGTTTGTTATTAATAAGGGGAATTTTTTTTAAAATCTTTTAATCTATTTCTTCATGCTTGGTTTCTTTATCATTTAAATATATGGATATATTAAAGTCTTGGTTTGAATATTCTATGATTTTAAGATTTTCTGCTGAAGGAGACTCAGCTGGTATTTATTTCAATATCGTTTAATCTCTCAATTTTTTTTAGTTGCACATAAACTTTGATCTTTTTATGAAAGGTCCTTGTAAATTATGATAAAAAAATTTTTTGCACTGTGTTAGATTTTTTTTATAGTGCCACCTAATTGTGCATTTCGTTTTTCAAAACGCTAACAATGCGTTTCAAATGGTATCTTGCAAATTGATCACAATTTATAAATACATTTTAAAACGCAAACTGGTTTGCTTTTTTTCTTACGAAAAAGTTCAATTGGGGCACGCTATTATGATCCATTAAAACGATACTGTCTATTTTATAATCCGCCATTATAAATGAATGAAAAACATTTTAATAATGATTTTTTTAATAAAGCTTAAATCTATATAAGCCTGACCAGAGTTTGACATGCTCTTCAAAATAAAAGAAATTCAAAGATTTTGAACTCTTAAGATTTTTTTTGTTAAAGCTCAAATCTTTCATGATGAAGAAATCACAAATTTTAAAAAAAAAAAATTTAATGAAAAATATCTGAAATTTTGTGATCTTTCAAAAGACTTTTTGCTCAAAATTTTGGGCAAAATATTTTTCAAACTCAATAATAGGAATTAGTAGAGATTTTAAGAGTGCTATATAATATTAGAATATGATTTAGTGATTTCATACATATAGTGTTGTTAAACGATTTTAGCCGATTTTAAAATCGATTAACTCAATATTTTAGCTAGAAAAATATTGCCTAAACCTCGAGATTAAACCTTTGTTCCACCTATGATTAAAATCTTCAGGCTTGCCTAATATTTATCTGGATAAAACATTGAACCGTTTTTAAAAATCGAGTCGTTTTAGCTCTTCAAAATCAAAAAAAAAATAATTAATATTTACGTCCACATATCATATAAGATTTGACCAATAAAAATAATCCCTCGCAAAAATGACTTAACATAGTTAATTACATTGTGCGTTCATTATTTATAGTTAATGAATAATAATTGGTGTGCTTGGTTCAAAATATAATCGTTATTTAATCTGGGGGTGGGGGAAGCGGGATTGTTTTTTGATCTATAAAATAATTAATTACCATTGAAAACTATTAAATTGGAATGACAAGAACTTGGGGTAAGGGGGGGATCTGGCCAAGAGTGAAGGTAACTCCCTTAATAGAGGAAGTAATCTTTGCCCAAGAATTTAAATTATAATGTATTGTTCAGTTCACTAACCTTTTTTTTTCAAAAATAACTTACTAGACGGTAATACATAAGTACCCACTTTTTGGATGATAAATGTGATATAAATCTCTTTTTTACAAAAAAATAAATTCTTTACTAGTTATTAGAAGCTTTGGACGGAAAAGATGGGGTAGTTGAATGCGCTTACGTTAAATCTGATGAAGGTGATGCCAAATATTTTGCAAATCCTTTGTTGCTAGGGGTAATGTATTATTATACATATATAATTTGAGTAAACCAAAAATATATGATTTGCCTATCTATGATCGTAAATTCGTTCACTTTTCTGATTGGTCCATTTAATAGCTGTAAATTAAGATTATATCTTAAATATTGTTTAAAAAAATTACTTGGGATAATTATCTGATATATCAAATGAATGCATAAATAGAATAAATACCTCTAAAATTTTTTTATATTGATAAGATCAAAATCTTACGATCAAAGGGCACCCTCCCGAATAGTAAATCCTGGCTCTTGCCAAGACTTTATGTCCATTTCGTTTAAATATTTATCGTTATGTTGGAAATCTGTCATTTTATGTCCTCTATAATTCAGAATAAACCACACTCCTTTAAAAATCAAATAGGGTTTTAAATTTAAATATTTTTTTTTACGTGATATTTAAACCTACAAACTAAGTTTGACAAAACAAGCCGCGATTTTTTGATAAAATATATTTTAAAAATTGTCTCATTTTTTAGAAAAATGGTGTGGCCAAAAATCTTGGAAGAGGAAAATTATCCGATTACGAAAAGGAACTCTTAAAAATAGCCCTACCAGAACTCAACGAAAATATTACCGCGGGAGAAAAATTTGCCGCTAATTGTATTAAAGCGATGTGATTTTTTTTAAAAAAACAAATTTTGAATCCAATTTTTTTTCTTTTTTTATTAGTTAGTTAATACTTAATTTTATAGAAATTTCTTGTTTACAAAAAAATAAGAAAAAATTTGAAAATGTTAAAATTTTTTATTTTAAATCGCATAAGAAATTTTTTCTCTAACCTCTTATTTTTTTTTATATAATACTATTCTGATCCTTATTAACACTTGTTTGTAGTAAGTATTAAAAAAATATATTTTTTTAAAAAATTGCTTTTATTAACCTAAAGAGTTTACGTTAACTTAGCTATTAGAAGTTTTACTTTGATTTTAAAATCATATTTTTACAATTTATAATGTGATTTCCTTGTGATTCTAATATTCTATTCACTTTTTTTCTTCTTTTTTTTTTTAAAAAAAAAAATTGAATTCATTGACAAATTACTTATAAAGAAAAAATCAAAATAAATCTAGTTTTTAAAATTGTGTTAAATAATATTATAGATGCAATCAAGAGTTTTAAATTAGGTACTTAAAAAGAGTCCTAAAACAATGACATTAATACTAATCTAGACTCGCCACCACACCATTCTTTAAAATGCAGTACACTTATTTAATAAATTGTTTTAACATCTTTATTCTCAAGTGGTACCGGTTCTTTTATTTGACCCTGTTTTTTTGATCCAGTTTGAGTTGTGGTTCTTAGATATAACTCAGATCTTAAATATATTGCGTTTCCGGTGGCCATGGAAAAAAATTAGACGATAACCAACTCAAAAACTGTTAAAGATCACAAATTAATTTCCAGTCTTTAAATAATATATGAACGCTTAATTTTTAAAAAAATTCTAAGTTTTTTTTTTTTACAAATAAATCACTTTCTGGTTTGACATCATTTTTTTAAAAAAAATGAAATATTATTTGAAAGCTAATATATGAAACGCTGTTCGTAATTTTCTATGGTCCTTTGTTCATATTTATGATTGATGATCGAAAAGCCAATATATTAATTTTTTGAAATTTGAGGAGTCATATCTTCGCCCACGTGCTAAATCTATTTCTAACACTTTGGCAAATTAATACTAATCAATGCCAAAACACTGCATATACCGAGCACTGAAATCTAAGAAGAAAAAAATTTAAATATATCTATAAAACTGATCTATCCATATAGCATTAATGAATCCATTTTGTAATAAATTAATAACTTTTAAATAAAAAGAATGAATATAATTGGATAAATGAATTTATGAAATTAGCGACGTGACGTGGATGTGAGATTTTATTTATTAAATTACAAAATATAAATGCATCACTAAAAAATTTCATAATATTGGATAAGCAAAATAAGATCGTCAGATTTAGCTGCTAAATTACAAGTCGAAAAATATATTTTAAATTCAATAAGTTCAATATGAGCCACTTTGGCCATAAAATTTTTCCCAACCACCAGTAGGTCCTGTGGTCACACTAGTAGTAAGCACGAATATAGTGAAAGATTCCTGGGATTCTTTATTGAATTAAGAAGTTAAAGATTTTTATAAGCAACCAAACTACCTCTAACTGAAAAGTTCGATCATTCATTTTATATTCGTCAATCCAGCGATGATATTATGCCATATATGGGACTAGAAATTTGGATTAGGAAATAGGACGCCTACTGAGCAGGAAAACAGATTTGTTCGTTAATAGTGTAAACACTTAATATTATTTTTCTAAGAATTTATTATTCAGCGGATTTAAAATTATTACATGTGATATATGTTAGAGACTGTGTTATTTTTTTTAACTTTAAATTATTTTTTGAGCGCATTTTTTTAAATTTAAAAATCTGATTATATTGGAAAATATTCATTTAACTAGAGATTTAATATTTAAAAAGTTTTAAACTAAGTAAAATAGACTGAGTGAATTTAAAAAAAGGTTAGTTATATTAGCTGTCTTCAATGGGTATTTTTAGCTTGCCGGGCAGGGGTAAGCTAGTTAAAAATTTTAAACATTGGGTGGGCTGGTGGATTTAAAAATAAACTATTGGCGAGCCGGTTTAAAAAAATTTTTAATTAATTTCTTGGAAACTTAGCACAAACTTGTAAAATTAAATATTTTATTAATTATAATTTTGTTCATGTTTATGAATATCTGGAATCATTTAGTGTAATGGGATCAATTTAAAACAATCAGACAGAGTTGTTAAGGTAGCATTTTTTTGCAACGATAGCTAATAACGAGTAAAAAGAAGTTTCATTTATAATTAAGTTTAAAATTTCAAATTTTTTATATTAATTTAATTTGGATATATAATTTATAAATCCTTCGATCTAAAAGAGTGGCTTACCTGTGACAAAGGGTCTCTTCCTAGACCTGTCGATCTAATTTTCTGAGCACCCACTACTAAAAATTTTATTTTGCACACATAATTCTCATAATTATAAAATATGTTTATTTATTATATATATAATTCTGTTATTTTATCCAGTGTGTATTAAATATCTACTGTACAAACTATATATAAATTTATCAAACAAAGATAAAACTTTAGTATAATTAAAAAGATAGAATTTTACTCTAACCGCATCACATAATTTCAAACATAGAAATGTTTATCATAATAAATATAGTTTTAAAAAAGATTCTATTTCTACCATCTAGTTTAACTAAAGAAGAAAAGGGAACATTGAAAGATCTAAACATTTCAAAAAGAAATAATGTCGAAGTTTGTTATACATCTATACAAAATTTATAAACCTTATATGCAAAAGAATTTTTATCATTTTTTTCCCCAATAAATGTGAAAAATGTTAATAAGAATATATATTCAAAATTAATTATTTTAAATCTAATCGAATTTTTAATAGTGATTTGAAATGCCTGATAAAAAGATATAACGAAATCACATTGCCACCCCCTTCCTCGCTCTTATTTCTCTGACTTAAATTCATTTGATGAAATGTCCAATAATAAGTCAGATAAAAAAAATTTGTCTGATATTTGAATCAGCTCAGCTTAGGTTTATTTTTTAAGGCTATAAAGAGCACTTATAATAGAATCCATAATATAGATATAAGACCGTGCCATTCATTTATCAGTTAATCATCTGTCATGGATTCATTATCTGACAATCTCTAGTCAACTGGTTAATCATTACAAGGTCTAATGTATAAAATGCCCACTATTATTGAGAATTTTAAACTAAATGACGGACTTGTGAAATATAATCTACAATTTGTTTGTAATATAAAACATTCACTTTAATTTTGTTGTCATTTAAAAAAGTAGGAAAGCAAAGTTTTAAGAATAACTATAATAGTCAAATGCAAATCTATAAGTCATAAATTTTAAGTTCTTACCCTTTTTTAGTAAATATTTTTAAAATGCTTCTGGAAAAAAAAATGAATATGAATGAGCCAACGATTATATAAAAGAATATTTTAATTTTTATTAAATAAGTGGCGTAAAAAATAACGACACTTTTAGCATGTTACCTTTATTTAAAAATATGTCGTGCTATTTTATTTTTTGCAAAGTACCTGTTAATAATACATTACAAAAAAAAATTAATAAGCAGATCCTATAAAAAAAAAATTAGCACGTAAAAACTAACGCAATAAATAATTTATTTCATATATTTTTATATCAATTTGGTATTCTAAATTTGGTTAAAAATAATTTTTGGAAACTGTGTATAGATAGGACTAAGAAAATATACGCAAAAAAACCATCGAAAAGTTTCAAAATTTTTGTAAATTTATGTTAAATCTTTTTATACTTAAAATAGCTTATTAATTTATTATCATTTAATTTTTAAAAATTTCTGAAGTTAATTTTTTAATGTTTCACATGCTAAGGGATATTTTTTGCCAAAAATTAGTATATATATATAGTATACATTTCAAAAAATTTAACTTATTCAAATTTGAATAAAGGTTCGAAAATTTTTCACTCCCTGCTATAACCCGGCACAACAAATATTTTTTTGGGTGATTAAACCATGGACTTTTTCACTCCCCTAAGCTTGAGACGATATTAACCCCCTTTCGGAAAATTTTACCTTTCTTCCAATTAAAACTAACCTCCTCTAACTTTATTTAAATGACGATGCCGTCTTTATAACTACCCCCCTCCAGTTTCACTACCTTCCATCATATTCCCACCCCCTAGGTAGTTTAAGATCAACCGTCTGATTTTTCTTCATTAGTTTTTAAAATTAATATTGATGGGTAGAATGGGATTTATAAAATGGATATTTTTTGGAAGTACAACCTGGGTCATATTATTGACGCGTTTATGGCCTGCAGAAGCCTTGAAAAAATTAGAGGCCTTGTCATATAAATTAAATTACGTGATACGGGTAAAAATATTTTAAATTTATGCAGGAATTGTATTCTTTTAAACTAATTATGATTATGATTAAATGGCATATATAAATAATGAATATTTCATTTGAAAAAAAAATGGGATTCTATACCCTAAAAGGGATGTCCAATTTTTAATCTAATTATTATACCATTTATTTAAAATGGACTTTTATATTAAATGATCGTTTTTAAACTGCGCTTTTAATTTATCTTCATTCTACAATACCGAGTTATGAGTGTAATGAATTGAGGAGTTGGTGGGGTAAGAACCATTCCCCTTCATTCATTTTTGAGGAGGGTAGGAAGTAAAAAAAATGCTGCTCCATATTTCATCGAGGCCTAGGGCATTGAAAACAAAAATAACGAATTACACACATGAGACGGAAATGACCCAAGCAAAATATCTCAATTCAATTAAAATACCCATTTTTAAGTATTTAAACAAATTACTAAAATTGGGTTATTTTGGTCAGGGCCTTTCTGGAATTCTACATATGAATTACACATACAATTTTTTAATTTTAAAATCTTTATTCAATGTCAGAATTTCGAGAAAAAAAACTAATTTAAAATCAAATCTATGAATTTAGTTTGGAGAAAAAAAAATCATAAAATTAAAATGAAATAACATTTTTTCAAAAAAAAATTTTACAAAAATATTATTTTAATCAAATTATGTTCTTGAATTTCGATATAAAAGATTTGGGATTTTTTTTTGTATTTTCTTCAAGGAAATATCTAATAAAAACCTCTTTTAAATCTTTATAAAAACAGCAGATTTTAAAAAAAAGTCCGTTCTAATAAGAGGTAAGGTTATTAGATATATTTTTAAGACCAGCCCAACGGCTTACATGCCATTTTACCAGCTATCCTCTTTAAAATAATAAAAAATATACAACTTCTCAAATAATAATGTTAACATAAAAATAATGATTAAATTTACCATATCGGGGAATTGTAAAAAAAAATGAAGATAGATGTGGCTAATAGAAAAATTTTAACTAAAAACAAAAAGGTTTAGAAGGTAAGGGGGGGGGGGGTAATATAAGACGTGGAAGAAAATTTCCAAAAATGAATTTTTTACAAACTATTTTGAAAATTTATAAATAATAACAAACTATAGTCCTTTTTTTTTCTTGTTTGAGCAAAAAAAAATTTGTTCGGAAAATAAACAAAAAAGTTTTTTTTAACGACCAAACAAATATTAAATATAATATTTCAAAAAAAAATTAAATAAAATATCAAGCGCGCGATTGATTCGTTCGTAGATTCGAGACAGATAGTTTCATTCATTCGTTCGCGAATAATATATTTGGACTATTTTCTTCGTTCACGCATCATATTTGCTCGTTCATTCATACGGACATAATATACATCATGCATTATATAAATAATAGGCGCTAAATATAATTATAAAACAAAACAAGAGACGCGATAAAAAAAAATACTATAAATATTATATAAGTTAGTGTTTCTTTTATATATATATATGTGCTACGCGTTTAAAGGCCAATAATGTTTAACTCGAAAAAATGAGGGGCGGTGCAAGTAGATGAATATGTCGAGTTTTGCAAGAACATGGTGGTGGGCCAGAAACACCGCATAAGTTAAAATAGTAGATTAATCATAAGTTCATTTTAGAGAGTGATGTCGTAGGTATGGCGTAGTCTTTTGAATTCATAGACACTCTCCATCAATTTAAATCATGTTCGTATAAATTTTTTTCTTTAAATATTATCAAAAAAATATATATAATATAGGTTATCTAATATAAAATTATATTTACAAATTTTATTTTAATATATAATAAATTTATTAAATAAATAATATCATTTATGATAAGTGATAATAGATTCAAAAAAAAATTTTTTAACGTAAATTGCTTTGGGTTAATATTTACATGAAAATTATTTTATTATAATACATATTTTCTTTTAATATTTGAAGACAAATACCTTTTTCATTTGTCTTAATTTTTTTTGGATTTTTAGTTTCAAAAAATGTGACATAGTATCATGTAGTAAATATAAGTATTAAAGTAGTGTATCGAGTTTTATAGTTAGTAAAGAGTATATAAGTTTCTAGAAACATCGAGAAAAAAATTAGGATTCACTAGTACAGGGCACCTATGAATGGTTTTATTAAATAAACGAGAGAACGGGGGAAGGGGAGGGAATTTTCCAAGAAGAATAAAAATTATGTAAGGTATTATGTTTGTTTATGTATGAAAATATATTATTCTATATCAATGTTTTATATGCATTGGACAAAACGTGTTATTTAAATGGTTTAGGATTGGGAGAATATCATCAATAGTCATAATATAATCTAACTAATTTAAACGAACAAACTATATACAACAATGTAATTTATCATTTAAAAGGAATATAATTTATTTTAATTAATCAAAGGAAAAAGATTGTTAGTTTTTAATTAATCATGGGGAAGATAAGATAGGAATAATATAATTCAAGTGTGGTTAACAATCTCGATCCGCTCCATGCCATTTACCAAAGACGCACCCTCGTGGTTGGAACCATTAGGCAGCTGGTCTACGTTATTAAGGCTAGATAAATTACTTTCAGCCCCGTCTGCGTCTATTTGTTGAAATTCCGCAACATATAAGCGTTTTTCTATGGTTTTTGGGATGGGCTTTATCTCTGTGTTGAGTTCCTGCGTGAGAAAGTAAGGTTAAAATATTGAATTTTAACAATTAAGTCTACATATTCACATATTTTTTTAAAAATTTAAAAGACTTACATGTTCGATCAAATGCAGCGCGAATCTATCTTCATAAGTAACCAAGTTGATGGCTATGCCCAAGTGTCCAAATCGGCCTGATCTACCTATCCTATGCAGATATGTTTCAGAGAGGCGGGGGAAATCAAAGTTGATGACAACGTTTACGTCTTGAATGTCTATGCCGCGCGTGAATAAGTCTGTCAAAGATTTTTTTTAAATGGGCGTTGAAACAATATAATCTTCTATCTTATAAAGAAAAGGTTTAACGTAGTTTCATATTAAAAAGGTTAGCCATGAAACATGTAGAGTCGCGTTTATGAAAGTGTATAATTGATGTAAAAGTCGGGAGAATTTATGAGCAAAATTAAAAATTCTGAGGAATTTCACATTAGTAGAGTATGCATGAGAATAAATTAGAATATAGATAATAAAATACATATATAAAGTAATCAAATTTAACCTGTGCAAACCAAGTTTCTGCCCTTTCCATTGCGGAAATCGTGAAAGACCCTGTTACGATGCTGTTGAGCCATCTTGGAATGGATGTAAAAACAGGAATACCCCAGTTGGGTTATCTTTTTGGCCAGCAATTCTACTCGAGTTGCCGTGTTGCAAAATATAATGGCCTGGTTTATTTGGAGCTAATATACGAGAAAAGAGAGAAAGATTAAAAGTCAAATAATTTTATTTATGAGTTTGAAAATTAAAGAAGAGAGAGATAGTTGAACTAAAATCCACGAGAAACATTTAGAATGTGGACACATTGTTACTTGGGAATAATATATAAAAGAATGAACAAGGAAAATAAAACAAATAAAAAATAGTGGAAAAGGTTTAATTAAGAAAAAAAGAGATAACCTTAGAAAACAGGGTATTCAGGCAATGCACTTTCTGCCTCTCCTGTACGAAAGCATAGTACTGGGTGATTCCCTTGAGGGTCAGTTCCGACATCAAGTTAATCTCGAGAAAATTTTTCAGGTACTTCTCTACGAAAGCTTTAACGTTGAGGGGGAAAGTGGCGGAGTAAAGGTAAATCTGCCTATCATCGGGTAGTTTGTCTATAATACGGTCCAGAAGGTGCTTAAAATCTTGAGATAAAAGTTTGTCCCCCTATAGTTTAAGTTTTTTTAATAAGAGTTTCTTGAGTGTTAGTATAACACTTAATAAAAGTAAATAAGACACTTTAAATTTTAAAATGTTTTCAAAAATTACGCTTGTGTGAGATTTCAAAAAAATAAACATAAGAGAAAATACAATTTAAAAAATGACTGACTTCGTCCAAAGCCAGCATTCTGCACTTTGATACATCGGCTATATCTCTGTGAATCAAGTCAAATATCCTACCAGGCGTGGCTATAATTATGTGCGCTAAAAATGTTTGAAATTTTATTTTAAGTGTTTTGTTCATAATACATTTTTTTTAAATAAATATGGGCCGGAAACTTAAATGATAATATTGTATTCCGTAGTAGAGAGTATGCAGGATATCAAATCCAATATGACCAGTGCTAGATCTTACATAGTAAGGTGCATGTGGTTCTTTGAAAATGACAGATTCTAATATTCTTATCTTTAAAATTTGAAGAGTATTAATAAATTTAAAAAAATCAGGAAAAATTTGATATTTTAATTTCCCGCTTCATTTAAATTTACAGAATTTAATAAAATAGCTAAATTTGAAGATTTTTTCTAGCCTAAATTTTGAGCGAAAATCTTTTAAAATCAACAAAATTAAAAAACTTTTTTTATTTTTTACTTTTATTCTAAATCTATAAATCGCTTTTCTAAATTTTAATAATCTATTTTTTTTATTTTTGAAAACATTTTTAAAGAATTTAATTTTCGAATCGAATATTCGACGAAACAAATCGAATCATGTTTATATTATTCGAACAAATACGAATAAGGAATTATTCGAATCGCCAATTTTGTAGGTACAATTCATAATGATTTCTAATACATAAAAATCACTAAATTGGTAAGATTTGTTTACAAAAAAAAGAGATTTAAAATTTGATCAAAAAATCTTGCATGAGCATATTTTAAATAGAACTTCCTTTTTGATTTTCAAGAGATCAAAAATCGATGAATATTTTGTATTTTGAGGATTCGAGAAACCCTGTAAAAATAAGCCAATTTCCGGTAATAGAATGTCTTATTGTTTAAAATATATATTTCTATTCATTTTTATGTATACACATGATAATGAATATTAGTAATTAACCGATTTATTAAAGATACCTAGATCCTCTATCAATAAGTTATAAATATCAGAGATGAGGAACCCTTGATATTTCGCTGAACCCAAACCATTTTTTAAAATTTAGAGTTCAGGGTCCAAAGTTTTTTTTAAAAAAATTAAAATTTTTTATTTTTAAACTTTCATTTTTATTTATTTTAAATTATATGTTAAAAATAATATAATATAAAAAAATGAGATTTACGATTTTCATTTATAAAAGATTTCCTATTTAAAACAATTGTTTTTTTTAATCAAAAAAAAAAAATTAATTTAAAAAAACATTTTTTGTTCATTTTTTCGTAGAATCATTTTTGTTATATTTAAAAGTCGGCCATTTTTCGCAAAAATTTTTAAATTTTACCCAGCAAAGCAGATTTAAAAAGTTTTTTTTTATATAAATGATGATCTATTAAATGAATCTGTGTAAGGGGAGGAGTGGGATGAAGATGATATAATAAATGGAGAAATAGCAGATACCAGTGTTGAAAGATTTAACTCCAAAAGTTTATAGCATTAGATGTGCAGCTCACACATTACAGTTAGCCATTAATGATTTTTTAAAGACTAATCGATTATTGATCGAGAAAGGCAAGTGATAAAATTTTTAAGAACTCCAACTATCGTTAGAATCTTGAAATCATTGAAAAAACCTATGGCAATAGTTGATTGTACAACAAGATGGTCATCGGTTTACGATATACTGGATCGATTGTTAAAATTGAAAAATTTTTGTATGTGGACATTGTTACAACATCGGAAGTTATTCTAGAGGAAACATAATGGGCTAACATAAGTGTCGTTTTGAAACCATTTAAAGCGACAAACATGAAGCTACAATCGGAGAATGTTCCCCTCCGATTTTATAGCATTTGGATGAAATGCCATTTAGAATTGGGAAAAATACACAATATTATTTCCAATGAGATATTAGGGCACATGAGATTTAGAGATGATACATATTTAAATAATATTCTTTATGCATCAATATATTTATACCCCAAATATCAAATTCTATTAACCATTGATCAGGAAGCGGTTGCTATAACTGATTTAACGGAATTATGGGGAAAACATAAATCAATTATAAATTATTGAATGCATCAACATTAACTTCATAAACAAATAATCTTGTTAATGATAATGATGATTTTGAAATTATTATTAAAAAAAGAAAAAAAATTAAATTAACACAGCATTAAAGGAACACCTTCCAATTAGCTCATTAGAATTTTTCACACATTAAAAGAACTACTAAGGATGCAAATATTTTATACTTCTGGGAAGAGAATAGTTTATTTATCCAGATTATACACGTTCGAAAATTGTTCTAGGTGTCCCAGCATCACAAGTCCATTATATATGATATATTATATTAAACTTAATTAATTACTAGGTAAGGGCTGAACAATCATTTTTATCATTAAAATTTATATTGTCGGACCTTCGTGGAAATCTTAATGACGATATTTTAGAAGATATTATGAAAATTCGCCTAAATAAAATTTTTAAAATAGAAATATAATGCTATTTTTTAAATTGTATCGTAGTATTATATTATAAATAATATATTATAATTATGATGATAAATTTACCGAGAATAGGTGGCGAGTAGGAGCTCTTATTGATATTGAGGTTACTCTTTTTATTAGTATCGTTGATTCAAAATTTAAGTTATAAAAAAAATTGATTTTTTTAAATATTATCGTCTGTCATTTTATTTCAATAATTTCTAAATATTATTTTGTCGCCTTTTTTGCGAAAAACCAGAAATTTTAAAGAAACGGATAAATTAACACGCTAAAATTAATGAATAAAAAATTATTGAAAAAGGAAGACCAGTTGCTTTTTAAATAGTGTCTAACACCATTGGGTAATATAACAAATTTGCACGATACCATTTGAAATGCGTTATTTGCGTAAGCAACGCAGCGTTTGAAAGGCTTAGTTTGTGCGCACAATAAGAAAAGTAAAAGTTGAAACTAATAAAATAAAACTTGAAATTCATATAGAATAATAATATTGTAAAAGTAAATGATTATTGTGTAAATCTATCATTTCCAAATATCGGTAACGTTTTAATATTTATTTTTGTAAGAGACCATTTAAAAAATCAAATATAATATTCGGTAGAAATAATAATATTTGTTTTTTATAAAATTAAATAAAGGCAGTTGGGATTAAATTTTATTATATTTTTCAAATTCGAAAATAGAATAATATTGAGCACAAATTGAACGTTTCAAACGGTGCATTGAAAACTCGAATAATGTATTTCAAATTGCAAGTGTCAAATTACCGTTTGGCATTTAAACTATTTTGAAAAATACGATAAAATATAAAATGTTAAAAAAATATTTAATTGACAGATAATATATTTTCCTAATCTAATAAATTTTATAGTGGCCATAATATGTACTTATATATTGGTAAAGGGTGTTAAATCAATATAACTTAGGCAAAATCTGATACAAAGCAACCAAAATATTTACAAGCAGATAATAAAATTTTGCCAAAAATATTAAGCCTTATTTGTGCAATGATTGTGTGACATCACACCATGATACTTAAATTAGTGCTATTAAGCAATGATCTTATCAAGCTTTCCATATATGAGGCCTTACAAATAAAGTAAATTTTATTTCTCCACAACTTAATATTAAAAAAATAATTAATGATATTTCAACTAGCACATGAAACAGGAAGAGGTGAAAAATTTTATTGGCCAATCCAATATCTACAATTAATCTGAAGGAAAAAAGTTAATGAGGAGGTTGAAACTATCATATATATATATATCACCAGACATTTTTTTTTAAATTTTAGGACCAAATTATTATAAAAATTTTAGACCAAAGCTTAACAAGACCTGAGGGAGTTTAACTGATGGTGACATTTATTCAGAAATTCAATGTTAAATTCTCATCAAATTCTATTATTAATTATTTAAATGGCATCATTATTGAATATCTGCATCCTGTATACACATAAACTTTTAATGAGAACAAGTATATTTTAATACTGATCATTTGTCAAAAATAAAGTATCAAATTTTAATAAATTATTTAGCTTTAAAATCACCTTTTTGGTAAATTCTCATAATGTCTTGTTTTAAATCAGTTCCACCTGTGGTAACCATAATTTGAATTTTCATGTGTTTGGCTAATTGCCTCATGATATGACTGGTTTGGAGAGCTAACTCCCTAGTAGGTACTATAACTATTGCTGTAGGAAATATTTATATATATATAGGCATTAAACTAAGAATAAACATTTTAAATTTTAAAGAATTTAAAAGTTTAAAATTTAAATTGTGAGGGTATAATGTTCTGCGTAAAATTAGAAATTCATTTTAAAAAAACTATAAAATAAAGCAGAATATAAATAAACCTTGAATATATATGTCAGAGTTATCATTTTGATTAGACTGTTGTACAATTTTTTCTAATATGGGAATAGCATAGGCACCAGTTTTTCCTGTGCCATTTTTAGCACGGGCTAAAATATTTCTTCCACTCAGTGCAACTGGAATACTTGCTTCTTGAATGGGACTAGGCTTTTCCCAACCATGTTCATAGATGCCCATAAGCAACTCTCTTTTAAGGCAATAGTCTTCAAACTCATTGCCTTTTGTATCAGTAACATCCTATTTATTTAAAGATATTAAATAATTTAGTATTTAAATAAATTTTACTGAAGTTTTAATTCTCATGTCCTTGCGTGGCAATTTTAATTTAGATTTCCAATCATCAGATTTATTACTAAAATAATTTTACACATATAGCATTATAGAAAATAAATCAACTTTATATTATTGTCCATGTCATAAGACTTAAGTTTATCGTCAGTTTCCAAGATATTAATATAATTTTCAGTAAGAGCCATATACTAAATAATAATCTCAATATATCTATAAAGTATGCTGAATATATACATATATAAATATTTATTACTTACAGTTTTTTTCTATAGTTCAAATATTTTATAATGGCAAATGTATATGTTTCAAATTAATTTGTTATTTTTATTAAGAATCAATTAAAGTTTTGCTTGTTTACTTTTTTTAAATTTGTTTTATTTACCTATTTACGTTCGATTTTTTTTACAAATCGTATTGGTTGGTCTAATTTGGAAGTGAATAAACAATATTTAAAAATTTAAATAATTATTTAAATAGTAATTATTTTAATTTAAAGAATAATAATAAGAAAACTTTATATTTAATATGCACGGATAATATATTAATAATATATAAAAGATTTAAAGTTATCAATATCTCATTTATATCTCATTTGGTTTATATATATATATTAAATATTATTATTATTGTTAGCTATATATTAATAGGTTATTTATTATATGCTTATATAAAATAGGCAACAATAATGTATTAAAATTTATTAACTTATATTTACTATTATTTAAAGAATCGAAAATGAAATGTTTATATACCTACTGGATGTAAAGTAATAGGGGCTTTTAAATTTTGAAATTGTTGACTAATTTTTATACTTTTTAGTAATGCAATTGGTGAAGGCTAAGGACCTCCCTCAGAGGAAAATAGTCAAATCAAAATTCTTAAACTTACATAAAATTCCAGATTCTATTCTTCATGACCAAGCCTTAAATTCTGATATCCAAAAATTACCAAACAATTATAATTTTGAAATTCACAAAACAATTTGGAGAATACAAAGTTTGAAAGCTAAAAAGATAGCTCTACAATTGCCAGAGGGTTTAGCTATATTTGCATGTACCATAAGTGATGTCATAGAAGATTATTTTTTGAGAAACAAAATTTTTGATGAAATTGGGGAAAGATTTTATGTTGAAATACTGATAATGGGTGATGTGACATATGGGGCTTGCTGTATAGATGACTATAGTGCTAAATCGTTAGGTGTTAATTTATTAATTCATTATGGTCATAGCTGTTTGGTTCCCTCTCAAAATCTGGAATCTTTTGATTGCTGTAACAAAGCATTTAATGTTCTGTATGTGTTTGTTGATATAACCTTTGATACAAAACATCTGATAGATACAATAATGCTTAACTTTCCTCCTCAAATTAATGTTTATATTGGTGCTACAGTCCAATTCATAGCTTCCTTACCTTTCATCATCGATGTTTTACAAAGAGATTATTTTCTCAAATATTCAACACATGAGCCTCACGGTAAAATTGACTTTATTCCAAGGACATCCCCCCTTTCTAAAGGTGAAGTTTTGGGTTGCACTGCTCCAACATTTCCTAGCAGATTTTCTGACATAGATTCTTGTTTAGTCATCATATTTGTGGCAGATGGTAGATTTCACTTAGAAGCACTTATGATAGCCAACCCCCATTTAGCTGATCACTTTTATCTTTACAATCCTTATGATAAGAAGCTAACTTCAGAACATTATGACCATGTGGGTACTCTTAAGGATCGGAATGCGGCTGTATCTATTAGTGTAGCTCATTGTTTAAAATCATTTAAAAAACCAACTGAGCTATCTGAACAAAATTTTGAAATTGATACTGATTTTAAAATCACAACAAAAAATTCAACCAAGTGTATTACCACCATAGGCTTCATACTAGGCACCTTAGGGAGGCAGGGCTCACCTGTGGTTATAGATCATTTGATAAGTCGAGTCCATAAATTAAACTCACATTTTGACATTCAATATTTAACAGCATTGATATCTGAAATTTCCCCTGAAAAGTTAAAATGTTTTTCAAAAGATAATGATGGTATTGATTATAAAACCAGTTCCCCTGATTTTTGGGTACAAGTGGGATGTCCTAGGCTTTCTATTGATTGGGGGCAGGCAACCTTTGGGTCTAACCCACTCCTGAATCCATTTGAATTCAACATGGTTTGCAAAATATGTGAAGATATTATATACAATAGAAGTAATAATTTGCCAAATGTGAATGGGTTGATCGAGGATTATCCAATGGATTATTATGCTTATGATAGTTCAGGACCATGGACACCTGCTCATAGGCCTAAGAAAAACTAAACTTTGAAAATAAAATTTGTTTGCTAAGAATTATAATATATTTTTTGATTATTTATTAGTATATATTAAATGTAAAAAGTATATTTTTCAATGTAACATAATGTGCAATAATAAAAATATATTGTAAACACTGTATATATATGTCATTATCCCCTATGGGATTCAAATTCTGGCTTGTATAGAGTACCCACTTAAGATTTACAGACAACTTTTGCATAATTTTTTATTTATATAAAATTAATTGGTGACAAATTGCTTCAAATTTGTACATAATACATTTCTGGTCAAATCTGTGTTTTTTTTTAATTTAAAAATCACTGTAAGTAATTTAAAATTAAGATATTGTCAATGATCATAGAATCCATATGCTAACATTGAAACATCTTTTACACTAATTGAAAACCCATTAATTTCATTTTTTAATTCACTAAATATGCAAATGAGTATTTTTGATAATTTTTCATATTTAAAAAATTTATATAATTAAATATCCCATTATCCTCAAGTGCTAGTGTTAAAGCTAAACTTAAAATTACTGATCACCAATCTAGACATGAGAATGATAATATTGGAAAGATTTTATTATTTTTCATAAATTCTTTTATAAATTAAATATTTATAAATGTTTATTTTTTTATGCTCAATTTTACTGATATTAAGGTTAGAAAAAAATCTTCAAAGATTCCTCTTCAAAAATTAGTTATTTTGATTTCATCGAAAGATTTTTTTAATGTTTTGAAAGTTATAAAATATTTACTTAAAAAAGATTTTGTCATTTTTTTAGATAAAATTTGATCAAAAATCTCGCTTCTTTTATAAAAAAAATCATCAAGTATTTTTGCTCCAAAATTTTTTTTTAAAACTGATATTAATAGATACCTATATACTATTAGTGGGCACTATTTTATTAATATCTTTTTTTTTAATTTCTTGTAAAATTGTTGATTGTTAGCCAAAGTTATTAAAAGATCATTTTAATTAGATCTAGATACATATACAGATATGTCTATAAATAGATCTAGATAAAAATGTATCTAGATTCATATATAATTTTTATCATAATTATATACAAGGTTCGCCGTTGTTCTCGAAGAGAAACTCTTATTATGTGAGCATAAAATACGTAAACAACATTTTTATATTTTGTTCTCATTCAATTTTAACACCATATGGAAAAAATGTCAATACTCCCATTTTTATCATTCTTTCGAACATATTAGCATTTAAATAAGGCATATACTTAAGAAAAAAATTTGTAATAAACTTATAAAGTCAGGGGAATATCTCTAAAATTATTTTAAATAAATTTATTTGCTCCAGTGCTTCAATGGTATTTTTTTTTATATAATTAATGGGCGTCATATTCCTTCACATGATGAAAATATCCTTCACAATCTTGAAAAAAACGTTAAATAAAAGTATATTAACATGTATCTTAAAAAGTATCTAAAAAGATACAGATATCTCTAACATGTCTTGATACAGATACTTTTATAAGAGAGTATCTAGATAAAGATATCACATTCTAATATGTAAATACTTTATCAACTCTATTGTTAACCATGTAGGAGCCCGAAATTTAATTTCCCTCAGCCCAAGCCTGGCATGAAATATTTAAGATTTTACAGGCCCAACCTTGTATTTTATCAGTTACTTTGTCATAATCATAAATTCTAATTAATATTTTATTTTGATGAAAACATCATTATTCCATATTATCTTTTTCAGGACTCGGGCCAGGTGATTTTTTCAAAAACATATTAGGCCCGTGCTGAGCTTTGTGCTGGATTGAAAGGTTATATTAACAAGCCCCAACCTTGTGGGAATTAGGAAAAAAAATTCCCTTTATAAATTTTTAATTATATTTCGCTTATAGTTATTTACAGTTTGTAACTGCAGAATAAAACTCGTTTTGACATAATTATTTGGTAAATTATAAAATATCCAAAAAAATCTTTTTTTTTAATTTGATGGCTGATTGGTGTGGATCATTTAGTTCAGAGATATCAAGTAAAATGAAGGATCAGTGGTTCAACCCGGTGGCCATTTCTGAAGCTATCCAGCACGAGTGGTTAGCCATAGGTTAGAGAACATGGAAACGGGGTTGGAATTAATATATATTTTAAAATGGCTTTAAAAATGATTTATAATATGAACCTATAGTAAAATAAGATTTCTATCAAATTATCATATATTTATCACTTTAAATTGTTTTAAAATAAATACCCCTTTTCCTAAACAGAAAATTTAATAAAATGGGGTATTTCGTCAGGAAGTATATTTGTTCAGGGCTTTTGTCTAGGATATTAATGTCCATTCGTTGTACCTTGGTTTAGTAAGACTGACTAACACTAGCTTTTATTTAGATAATATCTATAGTCAGCATAAATATTTGTACAACTTTCTTTATAAAATATCCTTCAATTTCCTATAAAAGTTAAACTGTATTTTAATATCTAATATAAATTATAATCCCATGTCTTGTAAACATTTTCCTAATTGGACATCAAAATTTTATATAAAACTTTTAATAGTTTATTATTTCAAAAATATATTTGTATATAGATGTACAATACATTGGCGTACATAGCGAGAAGGGGGGGGGGCAAATCCTCCCCCCTCCCAAGCCAAAAAATGCAGATACCGGATATATTTTCAAAAATATTATTGTTTATATTCATTTATATTTTATTATATTTATTCATATCTCGTTCTTTTTAAATTTTTATATTATTACCTTTTTCATTTACTAGTAATTTATTTTATCAATTAATTTCATTTTCAAGTTTTCCTTGGCGTAATATTTATCTATTATTTTTAAATTTCCCGGTATTATATTTTTTCACCATTTTCAAATTTCTAGTTATGGATATTATATATTTTTAAAAAAACACTGAAGATAGTGAAAATCATACCAAAAAGCAAAAAAGTATAGTATAATAATTTAATAAAATTTTAATTTTAAAATATTTTTAGCAATTAAAACCCCTCCCATAATAGCAAATAATGAAAGAATTGTTGAAAGAATAATTGAGAGTCAGGATATAGAACCATCTAAAGGTTAGTTATTCTAAAAATACATTTGGGCAGTTTTATAATAACTTAGCTGGTATTATTTAAAAAAATTTTTATGTACTTATGGAGGTTTTTTTGAACACCTACTTTGAAAATGGATTTAATTTAATTATGTAATAATAATATTAAAATAGATTCATATGATATGATTATTATGAAGAACCTAGTAATAGTAAAGATGGAATAGTAAAATATCAATCATACAAATGATACAGATAAGAATTTTAGATATTTAATTTAGTAAAAGAATGAGATTGCAACAATGTGCAGCAATATTTTTTTTAAAAATAATTTTAATTTACATCTCAATATTTAGACATAAACTTAAAACTAAAATCTTTATACAAAACTAGAGTACATGATCATCCATATGATATAGCCAATTTCTTAGATAAAGATAATATTAGCCTAGAAGAAAGACATATACTTCTTAAAAAGGTATATATTAAAGATACCTATGATAAATATTTTATTTAATAATAGATTTTTATTCCACCCCTCAATTTTAATATCCCCAAACTTTATGTGCTAATCGAAAGTTAAAATTTTAAATTAGCTATTTTACTAGATGGTTATGGCTAGCATACTCCATCAGAGACAGTGGAGCTTATTGCAAGATATGTGTCCTGTTTGAACCACGATATGCTGGCAGAAATCTTGTTAAGCTTAACACTCTTGTTAAGACTCCTTTCAACAAATACAAAGATGCGGGGGAAATTTTTGACAATCATCAGAAAACAAATTATCACAAAAGCTGTGAACTGATGATTTCGTCAAAAAAATCATTTCAAAAGGGGGATATAATTCCCATTTCATCACTTATTGATAAAAACAGGGTTAAAATCGTAAAATAAAATAGATGTAAGATGAAATTAACTATCGAGGCTTTTTATATTGTGGCTTGCAATGCCTAGCACTAGGTGGCCACAAGGATTCAGGAAGCTTAAATTTTAATAATGATAACGAAGGTAATTTTCATGGACTTTTAAAATTTAAAGCATTAGGAGATCCTGTATTAATGGAGAGCCTCATTTGTGGCAATAAAAATGTTACTTATCTTAGCCCTAGGATACAAAATGAGATAATTGATATTTGCAACAATATCATTTTAGAAAAATTAATTGCTGAAATCAATTCTGCCCCATGTCAATTTTGGCAGATAAGACCACTGACATTGCTGGCATTGAGCAGATGTCATTGTGTGCGCGATTGGTAGATACTCATAATAACATTATCAAGGAAATGTTTCAAGCATGACTGGGTCTACTTTAGCTTATGTAATATTTGAGAATCTTAAAAAATTAAAAGTAATAATTAATCTTATTGTAAAATATTTTTCAAAAATATAGCAGGGTATGATGGAGCACGTACAAATGCTATGGATGCTTTGCATCATTTCAAACATCTTTTAGATTATTTTCCCAAAATATTGAAATTATTATATATATTAGCAACTCTAAAATATAATTATTCATATTTCCATCATTTAAATTTTTTATACTTTATATATAAATTTTAAAGGCTCAAAAAAATTTAAATTTCTATTATGAGTTATTTATTTTATAGTCATTCATATCCTGGTTATATCCACTTAATATTTAATAATTCAGATTTATTTAAAGTATTTATATGCCGCCGGTTATATCCGTTTAATATTTTTTAATTCAAATTTATTTTTATATACCTGTTTTTTTTATACATATTAATTTAAATTTGTATATTAGAAATAGTTATTAGTTCTTATTAATTTATGCTTGATATTTTTAAATAACAATAATTTTATTAAAAAATATTTTAATTATCCCCCCCCCCCACACCAAATTCCTGCGTACGATGGTACAATACTAAAATCTATATTAGAACAAGATTTAAATATCCTAGTTAAATTTAAAATGAGGATCAAACGGTTGGACACCCAACAGCTCAACCAGCGCCTCTGTCTACCTTTTACGATTCCTTAATTTGATAATAAAATTCTACTATTATTAAATGGATACAAACGGTATAAAAATATATATATATATATATATTTTTTTTGACGGGTAAATTCTCTATATAGTTATTAGCACTCATAAAACTAAAAACTTATAAGTGGACTTAAAAGAGAACTTTTGAAATTAATTTATATATAACGGTATAAAAATATATATTATATAGTTATTAGCACTCATAAAACTAAAAACTTATAATTGGACTCAAAAGAGAGCTTTCGAAATTAATTTATATATTTTATTTACCTAGTGGAGTAAAAAATAATGGTAGTTTCAATTTTCTAAACTACAACCATAATATGGCAAACAAAAACCTGTTATTTTTTTAAATACAATTAAATCCATTTTATATATATATATTAAGTGATAGAATCACTCGGTCGTCTCCAATCTACTATATATCAACCCTATCCCTCCTAGGACAGAACCATCAAGTTGGTTTCAGAAAGAAACATGATCCTTGCTGGATTCGACCCAGAACTATAGGTTTGAAAATCCGTGCTCTTACCTACTAGGCAACAGAAGCTTTCCAAAAACGACGATTTTTTTCGATCCAAGCATAATATAAATAAAATACCGGCTAGTTTAACACTGCCTTTGGTAGTAACTATCAATAACCCAATTTATTATCTCTGAAGATTTAAAAAAATGAAAATTTTTTGAGAATACTCAAGCAGAATTTTTGATAAAAATCTTTTTTTAAAAAAAATCCTCAATTGTTGATCTTCAGAGATGTTTGTTCAAAATTTTGGGAGGAAAAAATATTCAATTGAAGATATTTGTTAAGCCCTGAAAATAACATAATAACCCATGTTTATTCGATTGTATAGCTTTCATATATAATTTATATTATATATTGTTAAAATCACAGATATTGAGAAGACTGGTTATGATAAGAAAATACAATTCCATCATACTCATAGTACATTATATATATATAAACATACAAAAAATTTAGTTTCATATTTAATTATATACAATTTGAACAAATGTTTTTATATATATCACATCAACTTAAAAAAAATTAATATACAAATTCCCCAATATAAAATAGAAAAGAAAATAATAGGATTAGTTTTTTTATTCTTATCATCATTTGAATAGAAAACTGTAGGGGTAATTTCCGTATTTGTGGCGAAAGATGGAAAGCAATTGACTGAAGAATATGGACAAGAGTAGCAAACCGACAACCGCTATAACTGTAAATAGAGAGTAATAAATTGTTAGGATTGACAATCAAGAACTTTTAAAACAAACCAAATGTTATTGTATTATTGTTATAATAGAATTATATTAAACAATATATTATTTATCCCTTACCTCCCTCTAATCTTTATTTGATTCCTGTTCCCTACATTTATAAATTCTAAAAAAAATTAAAAAATAACCTTTTCTGACGTTTTTATTGATACGTTTGCGAGGGATTGATGCTTCTTGAACCATGATTATGCCCAAGGTTATGGCCGCGTTAAGGGCTATTACGATGTAGGTCTCTGCCACGAATTGGGAGCTACCTCCAGGAGCTATATAAGTCTTTTAATTAATTAATTTTTTAAAGAAATTTCTACCAAAAAAATATAGCTTAGATAAAAGAGGGAAAAGATCAAGCTTAATATATCAGTATTAAAATAGCTTTAATTTATTTTGATTATAAGAATATTGACTTTTTAAAAACAAATCTTATGGCTCGTAAGTCGTAAGATTTATTATATTATAAATCTAAATAGACATCTATAAAAAAAACCACCTACCATTCAAAAATTTAATTTTATATTGGATCCAAAAAGACCTGGTTTGAACTAGAATTACCCTACGTTTACAGTTAGCGCGGATTCCCGGAGAAGTATACAAAATATTATATAAATGTAATATCTTTACATTCATACTGTGAATGCAGTATTAGTCTATTATTGATAATTATAGATACGTTGACGATGAATCAGAAATATTTTTTTGTAAGAGAAAAAAAAAGCAATCGTTATAATCGATGTCAAGTCAATGAGTAAGACAATCGAAAAATTTATTCGATTCCGTTATTTGATTTGAAAATTTTGAATCGAAGATAAATGCATAATTCAAATTGCTAGGATAAAAATTATTCGCTAATTTTGGGAATTATTTTGCAAATATTCGTATAATATAATCTTCTTATCAATCTAATATTTTTTTTATGACACATGCCATATTAGTTTATATTTTTTGATTGTGAAAGTGACTTCTTGCTTATAGTTTCATAGAACTAGAGATGCAACGAAACCAACTTTTAAACAAGAAACCGATATAAAAACAGAACCCGATATTAATGCGATATCCGTGAACCCTGCATGGAAAATCAATACAAATATTTATAAATTGTAAATATCATGCGATTAGAACGAGAGGAAATATTAGGGCGCTTCTAGTTTTTCGTGAGCGGTTTATTAAGGTGCACTATTGACTTACCAAAAATAGCATGCCTCTAAAAAAAATGGAGGAAATTTGGAGAACGTTAGGGTGGCACCAAATTTTTGCCGATATTAAAATCAAAATTGGGACAAGATGACTGATATATAACCATCTTGGAATGTTATAAACATTTAAAAATATGTTACTAAACAAAAATATTTCAAGGTGGTTGGTAACGGCAAATAAAATCAGCCTATGTTTTAGATCGGCAAATTTTAAGTAGTGTGATTTTAAGGCTGAATTTATAGTAAACGCGTCATGTTCAAGCGTTGCGCTATTTAACGCTATCGAAATCACAGCTGATTATTCGTAGCGTTGAAAATGTTTGAAATATACGTTGCAACATATGTTTTTCAAATTTTAACATGGCGTTATATTCATAACGCTCGATATTTATAAATTATGCCTATTTATTGGCTTGATTTTGCAAATAATGCTCCGCTTGAACATAACGCGTTTACCATTAAATGAGGCCTAAACGCTTCCTTAAAATAATTTAATTTTATAACATGTTGTGATGTTACATCGATATTCCAAGATGTTTATGCATAAAAAATTAGCTGTCAATATAGTGCTAATTTTGAAATATACATATTGGAAAATATATCGGTACAGCCCACCTTTATATTTGAAAGAGAGGCTCTTTTTTAAATAAAGATTAATTTTTTTTTAAAAAAATAGTTATTTTTATTGTAATTGTAATTAGTCGTCTGCTTCGGGCCCAATTTTTCGAGCCCCGCCCAGCACGAATTTTTTTTAAAAAATAATTTGTGTGCCCGGCCCGATCCCGAACGAAATTTTATTTTATTTGTCCGAAAAACCCAGCCCGAATTTATTTAAATATAGAAAAAATTTAATATTTTTGTTGTAAAAATACAATCTAAAAATAAAATATAATAGCGCCTTGTTTCTTGCAAGATTTTAAAATATATCAACTTATTTGACAAAATGTAATATCATATTTAAAAAATTAAGCCCAACCCGGTTCTGCCAGAAATTTTTTAAAAAATATTAGACTCAACTTAGCCCGAACTGAGATTATTTTTTAAAATATAACAGGCCCGCCAGGTCCGAAGATCAGGCCGGGTGGGTACAGGCTGGGCCGTGATTCGCAGATCCCTAATTGAAATAATACGTAACAATTCTGAATTATGTTAAAATCAAATATTTCCGTTAATTAAATTCGATTATATACTATTCGATTCATTTGAAAACGGGATACAAAATTCGATTCAAAATTTATGAATTGAAGATTTTCCGATCGCCTAAATGATTTTGAATTTGATGGATATTTATAAAAAATAATTTACCATTTGGCCCGTTTTATGATTTTGGTGCATGAAGGGTGGAGATCTGATTCTGTTCCACATTTGTCCGCTAATCATGATGTACACGAATGCCTAGTTGCAAATTTTAAATAATGTTTAAAATATAAATTTATACACCTTTGTGGAATAATAAATTTTTTCAAAAAAATGTTTTTTTTTCTTTCTACCTTTTTATTCTCTTTTAAATCCTACTTTCTTATGGGAGATATAAGAAACTGGACTCTTTTTCAAGTCTGATATTGCGTTATATTTATAAGTATGAGCAAAGTTGTTAAATAACTTTTAATATGAATCTAGATACTTGGCTATAAATGTATCCGATACATCTAACAATTTCAAAGGTAAGGACCATACATTACTTGCTTGTATGCAGCGTGCAGATGAGGGATGGCGAGTGTCGAAATTAGACAATTTTAGGGGACCCCACATTGTAAAGAAATAAGAATTTTTCATGTATACACTACATAAAAAGCATTATTCTAATTTTTTGTAAAGAAAAAACCATGTATGAATTTTGAATAAGGTTTGGGTTATCTGACAAAGTAATCATATATTATAACAATTTAATTTTTTTAATTAATGTTTTAATTTTTTTCAATTATAAATAATCTTCAAAAACAATTTAATTAAATTTTCTATAAGCATAAGAAACAAGGTAATCGGTAAGTAAAAAATATAATAAATTTATTTTTTAAAAAACGATTTCTAATATTTGTTCTATTTTCTCATAAAGGTCTTGTTTCTATAGTTGTTGTAATTGAGGCACATTTTGGACATTCTGGATAAGTCTATAGACCTTTATGGTGGGTACACTTCAAATGAGTTATTATAAATGCTAGTTTCAAAGCCTTAAAAAATGACAAACTTGATTAATATAAAAATATCGTTTAGTGAATTGAATTGTTAGGAGACGCCATATAATCTTTTATTTCATAACCTAAGAATTTTCAAAATTGGAAGAGGAAGCAAATTTGATTCAGATGCAGAGAAACGGGAAAAAGAGGAGCGAAACTATAAACTATATTTATTAATTCGGGGCTATTTTAAAAAACTTTAAAAATATAAAAGTGACATCATGCGCCATAAGTGAAATGCCAGAAATACTAAATATCCATCTCGATGATGAGCACATTAATATTCTTATGCCAATCATGAATATCCTTCATAACGATCCGGCAGAAGTCTTCACTTATTATGACTTATGCAAAATGACAATATTAAATTAGAAAGAGCAATTACACTTATAGAAAGTACTTAAAATTTTTTAGATCGTTTTATGGAAAACGGCTTTCAGAATTCCTTTGACTAGGCGAAGGAGCTGGCATAGGGATTGGAAATGAATATAGAAGAGCAGTCCTCCCCTTCAATTACATTAACTTGTATACCGAAAGTTTAAAAACAATTTTCTGAGATGACATGACTATACATGATCCTCAAAAAAAATATGAGATTGAATTTTTCAATGTATTATTAGATCAAGCGAGAAATTGGTTGGTGGAACGTTTCTAGCAGTCAAGATTCTTTAGAGACCGTAGTGAATTTTCAGTATATTAGAATTAATAGATGTGTCTGAAAATGCTTTATAATTAAAATTTAATAAACTATATATATTTTTAGTTCTCATTACGAAAATTTATCAAATAAGCTTAGGTAAAATGTGTTTTTTTAAGGGACCACCAAATTATTTTTTGCCCTGGGCCCCAAATTTCTCAGCACGGCGCTGGCTATATGTTATATAAGTATCATTTACATTATGAACTTAACAAAATATTTAGATAGAGATTCTCTCGAATGTCTTATAAAGATACTTCGATAATCATTACCGGTCTCATTTAATCATATAACATTTTATCGGAGAAACAACAGAAAAAATTCCCCGATTTAATGACTAATATGATAAATTAAATTTTGAAAAATAAATATAATAAATTTTAAAAATAAGCATTACACTTTTTTAAAAAAAATACCCATTCATCAAAAATTTTTTTTATAATAATGTTAGTGATTATTGTCCAATAGTTTTCCATACCCCGTCTAAGCTTTCACTATAAATTAGATATATGAATTTCCTCACCGAATTTTTAAAAAAATTAATGTTATTCAAATATACAGGTTTGGGAATGCACTACTAGAATTAATAACCAATTTGCGTTAAAACATTAATTAACAAATTAGGAGAGAAAATTCGTAAATTAATTTCATTGAAAGCTAGGACAGAGTATAAAAAGAGGAGAAAAAATATTAAAGCCCTTTAAATTATTTAGACCGAAAGGCACCGAAATTACTTTTTTTAAGCAAATAACGCGACTAAGTATCCGATGCTGTCCTTTAAAAAAATTGATATTATTAAGAGCAAAGCATGACCCTATAGAACCGTCAAATCGATATATTTTGCTAGTTTCAATATCGGCAGTAAAAAAATTTTCTTAAACGCCTAAATTAAATCACCAAAAAATGTATTACCAACGTCTTGAGATTTCGCCAAAAAGATGGCAGAAAAGTTTGCCATATTTTTGCGAAATCTCGGGGGTTTAGTTTTATTTCTACGCAAATCTTGATTTTACTTTTTAAAAAATCGGCTATATTTAGCAACACGACCATTTACTAGTACTGAAAAAAAATTCTTATTAACTAATCGTTTCTCTGAAAATTTCTGGCAATTTAAAAAAAATAAAATAAAGACGGAAAAGTAAAAATCAATTAAAAGGATATTTTAATTTCATACCAATGCTAATGTGGCGCATACGTATCTGGAAAGCAAGAAACTTAAGCGATTTCTCTGCCAATAACCGATCGATAACACCAATAGCACAGCGCCTAGGATCATCAATAAATTTTGGTAATTCACAGGTCTGACAATACGAATCTGGAATCATTAAAACGATAATTATCCACTAATTTAATTTATTTCGACGTTCTCTATGTTTATTGGGTTATGTATCTAGCTTAATGGCGTTCAAAAGTTATCCTGTGGTAAAATTAACATTGGCAGGACGGCATAGCGATTTTAGAGATCGAGTGACGGATATAGTTGGGTAACTATTATATTCTTAGCCGGCTAAAAAATCGGCTAAGCCTTTGGCTTCGGAATTTTTCCCTAAAAAGATAGCAACTCTAATTTGAAAGAAACCGATATAAATTAAAGCGCCTTAATGTTAACGGATTTTCTCTGGCAAGGCGTCTGAAGATTGAGCCGAATCAGCCGATATTTAGCCATTAACCAACTAGCGTCCCTTAAAGTAAGGGAAGCATTATTTCCCTTGGAATTTTTCTTTTAAAAATTCTTAAATAAGATTAATATAATCTTTATACTAAATTTAAAAAAAAAATTAATACTATTCTTACTTCAAAAATTTAATATTTTTACTATATTATTGATTACCTTAGCTAATATTATGTTAACTATGTTTGAAAAAATTTTAATTTTTTTATATTTTATAATAAATAAAATTAAAAAAATCATGTGATATATTTTTATTATCTTAAAACAAATAAACGGGGAGCCAAAATTGCTTATAATAAAAATGAGAAAATCAAGGGAATGTATTTTATATAGTTAAAATGTCCGCTTTGGGTCGATTTTTACGGCCCGATTAAGATTGTAGCCCAAAATAATATTTTATAAGCCTAAAGATTTTCCTCATAGATAGGTGAAAGGTTTGGACTTCTATCTGTCAAATCTCGAGGCTTACATCATATTATTTTGGCTAAAATCTTAATCAGGCTTTTTAACAGCACTAATGTATTGTTCAATTTTAAATAAGTTTTGGGGAAATAAAAACATGCTCATTTATTTTAAATATTCGATAAAGTATTAACAACAATCTCAAAAAACTTGAAAAAGAAAAGAAATCAAAGTCTTTCTACCTAACATTGGATTCAACATCCACAAGTTCAACGTCGGTATTTTAATATTTAAAAAGGGTGAAAATTTTAATTGTCCATTTTATCTCAATTGAAAAAAAAAACAATAAAAAATTTAACAATTTTTAGTTCTTGAGAATTTTACTCAAAAACAGATGAATTCTGTTTTTTATATTTTGTATGGTCTGATTGATAAAAATAAAAAAGTCAATCGATTCCCTAGTAGTAAACTTCAAGCTTCGTCACTGTGTTATGGTAACCATATGTTTATTATGATCATAGGAAAACTTTAATAGATAATATTCATGATATTATGGCAAATACATATAAATAAAATCAATCAGATAAATTTTTATATTTTCGATATAATTTCTTTTTATCTACCCCCTACCCTCACCCATTCATTTATCTATTCTAATAAAGGCTCAAGAAATATTCTAAATTATCATATTTTATTACCCCTTTTAAAGTGAGCTTTTAAAACCTAAATTATTAAGTATAATTTATAACCTATTTAAATTTAATAAGATTGAAAGGGGCCATTTTACTTATGGTTCCCAGAATAACTATTTGCAAGCTCAACAATTTAAAAAATATTCAAATCTAGCCCTGAAAGAGGTAACTAATATTAGTCTAAATAGCTTTCATATTTTAAAAAGAACCCATAAATTACATTTATATGTATAAAGAAAGATTTTTTAAAAATGTAACTTGTATATTTGTCTTAGAATAAACCCATAGGGACATTCTTTCAGCTTCTATTCCAAGCCTTTATTCATCATATGTGAAAGATAAAATGATTAAAAATTATAATTAGTTGTTAAATATTATTTAAATATACTTTAATAAAGTCTGAAAATAAGGTGGCCATTTACTAAGGCTTCATATCAGAGACCTGCAGAAGTACTATTTGCATAACCCAGCCCAGATTTTTTTAAAAATAAATTTTGGCCAGGCTCAGATTTTTCAAAAAAGGAATTTTACAGCTGGCTCGGCTTGAGTTTTACATTTTCCAACCTGGCCTGTCTCAAATTTTTTAAAATATATATTTATTTTTAATTTTTATAATTAATGATAGTGATTTAAAATATTATGCCCATATCAAGTATTTTTTTTTTAAATTTAAGCCCACCTAGGTATTTTTATAAAACAAATTTTAGGTCCAGCTTGGGTATTTTTAAAAAAAAAATTAAAATACAACCCATGCCAGGCTTATGCCAGGTCTCTTACTTATATAATAAGTGATATAATATTTATCACTAAACAATAGTGTAGCTGTATTATTTGTTATGATTTTTGCAATTTAAGCAGCATAATGTGTGCTGCTTTTGTGGTTACAATAAATGAGGCCTAAGTTATCATTTAAATAATATATTAAAAAAACTTTTCAATTGGATAAGTTTCCATTGATGATTTCTTTTTTTTAGATGGCCAATAAACTAGCAATGGGACTGATTTCAACTTCATCTAAAGTATTATAATAGAATTATTTAGCAAAGTATATAAAATTCAAATTACATCTTCAAATATCCCAGGTGCCTTTTTAAAATCAGCAATCATAAAAAATATCTTATTAGAATACAAATCACATTTTTTCCAGCTTTTAGCTAATATTTTATATTCTTTATATATCTCACTATAAAAAAAATATTAATTTACTAAGTTTTATAGTATAATTTTACCTACAAATTTTACAATCTTGAGAATCCAAGATTGTAAACATCAAAATTATCGAATAATTTTTAGGCGACTTAACATAGTATTCAAACTGATTTAAGTCTAAATGTAGAATAGGAATATCACTGTTTTGCAATAAATTCATTAGTTCTTGCGATTTTGCTTTGAGAGTCTAAGAAATTGTTAATTATATTGAGTAATTTTATTGAGAATTATATTTAATGCTTACATTTTGACTCTTTACACTCATAATCGATGTTAAACATATAAAAATATAGAATAAGAATTTCATAATTTTTAATTAACGTGTAATGGGATAAGTGGAAATAGTTTTTAAGAAATCATATGGCATGGGTTTTAGGTAGATAAATCTGTAAAATATCTTTATGGAGAAAAATCATTAATCAACTGTTTTGTATAATGTTGTAAAATCATCAAAAATTCTAACAACTTACATTATTTAAAAATATGGAAATTATTCAATTATTTTAGATGTCATTAAAAGAAATAATTTAACATTTTTGCAACTACATTACAATATTAATAATTTTAGTGAAACTAACTTATAAATTTTATGTTAGATAATATTTAATTATATTATGTATTTTGTAAATTCTAACAATTATATTCAATATTGTTGGGAAAAATAACTGTGTTATCTTCTTATGCAACTACAAATGTATTATTTATAATTTTAATGAAACTAACTTAATATGGATTAGGTATGAAAAATTTTATCATTAAATTTATTTTATTCTTATATAAATCAGTACTAATCAAAAAAATACACATTCTTATTCAATATCATATGTATAATATAGTATATTATTAATATTCTAGAAGAGTGATATATTCTAATTGGTTATTATATAAAATTATTAATTTTAAAATATATGTATTTAATTTCACAATATTGGCGACGATTCTTATGGGGAATATTCTTGAGGATTCTAATGGAAGAGTTAATAATGATTTTAGACATATTGAGCGAGATTAATATGCAATAAATTCTGATATCGACAGATACATAATTAAAAAATTTGTTTTTGTAATCATAATATAGAAAATATCGAAAAACAAGCTATTTGATGGAAACTTGTCTCACATGCTTAGAACTTTTCTTAATTTGATTAATTATCATAAAAGATTTATTAAAAATTTCCAAGGAAAAGATGCTCCGTTACATCGATTGAGGAGCAATAAGTTCTTTGGTCATGATAATATTAGAGCAAACTACTTTTGAAGAAATGAAAATGTTATTGACCATTGGTAAGACATTGATGACATAATAGTCTGATTTGTCGGTTGTACTTGAAGCGGACACTTTAAATATAGATTTTGGTGTAGTTTTATCACTCACTTTATAGTGGAATAAACAAAACAATAGCATATGAATCCAGGACTCTAATAGATTCAAAAATAACATTACGCTCAAATAGCTAAAGAGGCTCGCGCTGTTGTTTGGGATAAAGAAGTATTATTTTATAGGAGGAAGATTTTGTTTGATCACGGATTATAAACCATTAGAACGTCAGCGAAAAAGGAGATCTTCCTAATCTATTTAATAATCGTAACAAGATGGGCCTGGAAGATGTCTCAATCCGATTTCGATATTACATATTGGGTTGGTAGATAAAATGTTATAGCTGACGCATTATCTCGATTACCTATCAAGGAAGATATAATAAATCGAGATGTTAAACATGCTATCATATTAGCCATATTGATTTAGATGACATGATGTTGCCAGTGGATAGAATAAAAATAGATTGGGAATTCAAGCGTATACTCATCAAATTCAATAAAGTTTGAGAACATTTGAAAAAATTTGTGAGCCCGAGTTATTAAATTATTTCTATCGCCGTAATAAATTAACAGTGGATTGAGATATTGTTGAGTGGAATGGCAGGAGGTTACTTCGAGAACACGTCGACGAATTGTCATAGGTAACATTCATCGAGGTCATCCGGGAATGACAACGAAATCAATTTTCCTATTATATTGTTGGTGACCGGGTTGTGACGATGAAACAGGACTGTATGTCAATGGTTGTGCTGGTTGTCATCTTCATAGACCTAAAATAGCGGAAGTGTTCTCTTGGAACGTATGTCAGGAACCATGGCAAGATTAAACACAGGATCTGGATTCTTCTTTTTGGTTAGTTTTAGTTGATTCTATTCAAAATAGGTAGAGGTAGCCCGTTTAAAAACTAAGACGTCCTATATTATCATTATAAGGTTGAAAGGTTGGTTCTCAATATTTGGGGTACCTAAGAAAATTGTTTTGGACAATTGTCCCCAATTCATATCAAGAGAATTTGAATTGTTTTGCCAAAAAATATTGTTCATATTAAGTCACTTATTACACATAAGACAAATGGCCAAGTTTTCGTACAATCAAGGAAAGAGATAGTATTGCGCGAGATAGTGGAAAAGATTTTATGCCTTAAGAGATTTTTTTAAATATATCGTATAACTGAACTTAGTATAACTGGTTGAAGTCTTGCTAATATGATGAGACAAAGACTAGTTTTGATTGGGTAAGACCGGATGCCCATAATGAATTAGAAAAGTCGCAAAATTCACAAAAAATGAATTACGATTTAAAATGTAAGACACGAGATTTTAAAGGTTGGCAACGGGTTTAAGTACAAAATGAAAGTAAATCAGGATGTCGGAAAGAAATGATTAAATCATAAATTTCAAATTATTCATACATTATTGATTCAGCGGATAGAACTATAAGGAAATACCATGATCAGTTGCGGAAACGAGTGGTGTCATCGGAAAACACAAGGGGAGAGAAACTTTTAGAGGCAAAACAAACTAATGATTCAAGTGGTAATGTAGGATTAGATTCTTCATGTATCTTGCATGTTCTTCACAAAATTGCAAGGTACCAAACGACTTATCGAAGAATAATTTAAATTACTTTGGGAAATATAATATAGTATATTATTAATATACAAAAATAATATATTCTAATTGATCACTATGTAAAATTATTAGTTTTAAAATATATATATCTTACAAAAATAAATGCACAATAATATGTAAATATATAATTATAATTTTGGTGAAAATAAAAAATATTATATAAAAAAAAATATTCAATTATATATTTTTAATTTACATTAAACTATTTTTTCTTGTAAATTGCTATTATTAATATGGTTTATTGTTTTAATCTATATTGATTGTTTTCCTTATATATTGAATGCAATATAATATTAAAATATTATTAATAAATTTAACTTGATTTTCTCCAAATTTTGTCTAATATATATTCGTTCATATGGTAAAATTGTGTCTATAAGTTATTAAATATAATCCAAGGCAATATAATTTATTTTAATTTAACAAAAATAGGCCCGGACTAATTCAATAAAAATCTAGGTGAATGTTTTATTTTAAATAAAAGTTTTTTTCCTGTATGCGTAACCTAATAGGATTAATTTTTACATTTTATGCTGTGTGGTTTATGCTAAGGCTTGAGAGTTAATTTAAGCACAATATTAGCTGGATTAGATATTCTATTATTTATGATGCCTTTTCGATTTTACTAAACCAAGATAATAACTTATATTAAGCTTGTGGACCACATTAGTGGTTAGCTCAAAACTATGCAATAAAGATAAGAGTTAGTGTTTATATTAAATCATCAAAGATAAGGGTTAGTATTTATATTAGATTAGGAGAAATATTTATATTAACCAAACCCACTACATTTAGTAAAAACTTAAAAAACACTTAGGCCTATTGAGCAACGCCAATTAGTCAATAAGTTTCTTTTATTTTACTAAACTACGCGGTTCAGGTGAATTCCTAATACTACCCCGTGAACCGCGTTAGTGGTTAGCTTATGGATACATTACAAAGATATGGGGTTAGTGTTTATATGAAGAAATACTCATTTTATCAACCACCAAACGCACTATTTGGTAAAATATAGATAAAGATAAGGGTAAGTGTTCCCAATATCTTGCTGCATATTTTTTATTATTGCTATCATCTTAAATATAATTAATCAATATTTTGCTACAATTTACTTAAAATTACATTTATGCTCTATTTTATGTTTTTTCATACCCTAAATAATATACTAAAATTAAAAATTATATCAAAGTATATAATAGGGCAAAATTACTCAGCGTCAGTATTTATTATAAAAGGATATTATAATAAATATATTGATTGAGAATGAAGAGGAAATATTAAATTCAAATGATTTACAAAATTAGCAACTAAACATTCAACAACAAGTACAAATTATGACTTGACTTTAATTGATTTAGAGCTAGAATGCCATATTATTCTCGGAAAACACCATTCACAAGTTATTTTGAGGATCGAACTACCTAATTTTCTCACACTATCTAAAAAAAAAATTCTTTGTGTTACGGCATAGGGAAAGAGTTTTCTCTACCACTAGGTTAACGTTTGAATTCTAAATAAAATAAAAATGAAAAACTTTAGTGGTTGATCTGAATTAAAAACTAAATTATTTATAAAATTTCAAAAAAAAAATACATGATACATAATAAAACAAAATATATATTTTTTTCAACCCTTTTTAAGAAAATAATTTAAAGTATAAAGTGTAACGAAATCGTTACATTTTGAAACAAGTAACAAATGGCACTCCTTTTTCTTCAAAAAAAAGTTATGCAGTTATACGTTCTTTTCGTCGTACTTTTATAAACGTGTCTTAGATATAATTTTAAAAAATATATTTAAAAATATCATCCATCGCTAAAGGCAATACACTTTATTTAGCATCTAAATTATTTCGAGTATTTCTTTTTTTTATTTCAAGTCAATTTTTAATCGCGAATAATGTAATATTGAATGCAATTTTTGAGGTAAAATTATTTCATAGAAATAAAACTCTTTGTTGTATTGAATGACATTTGTGGGCGTTTTTCAATATATTTTCTATAAAAAAAAGATAAACCTTTAATTGCCTTTGTTTGATTTAATTTTTTGAACATTATATTATGGAAGTAATAATAAAGATGGATGGATATTGATATGTTATGTAAATATAATTTAAACAGGATCATATGAAATATTGGGTTTTGATAAATATGAAATATTGGGGTTTGATACACTTCCTTTTGTTTTTTTTAATAATTAAAATAATTAATTAAATATACACAAAATACGAATAAAATGACAGGTTTATCTAGTTTTGTTAAAAAGTCCGATTTGAGTCAATTTTAAGTAACGGCTCACATAAGATTCTAACCCAAATAATATTTTGCAAGTCTGGAGATTTTGCTTATA